AAATCAGTTATCCGGAATAGCGATGGTCCCGATCGTTCCGGATAATCGGTTCCCTAGTGTATANAATTTAGTACCCCAGCGCTTTTATGTTTTATTTGCAAATATATGCTTGGGAGCTTCATCAAGCACTTCAGATCACTTTTAGCTATCTTCACAGATCGGAGCGATTTTTTAAAAAATACGACACACACTCTCCTATTTCTTAAATAAAAAAATAACTTGACTTTTTTAAAAAAGAGAATCGTTAACCCCTTAACGATCGATTAATCTTCAAGAAAACGGTCATAAAAGTGCCTATTTTTTTTTATTTATCCCTGAAAATTATACAAAAATATGTGTATGAACAATATATATACTCATTATTAATTTTTTTTTAGCTTAAAATTTTAAAAAATTAAATTTTTAGGAAAAGCCAACATTCAGGGTTACTATGACTTAATGTTAGTTTTCCAGCAAGCAAGGAAAATTTAAAAAATATGTGTTTTAAATAATAAAAAATAATTTTATCAAACTTACGTATAATATAAATAAAGATTAGTAATTTTTTCTTGTGTGATAAATTTCAAAGCATGAGATACAGAGGCCAACATCACAATCTGGACAGTAGTACAGAGTTTCCTTTTCCTTCCTACATCTCTTCTGTAACTATCTACAATTACCTTGAAAATATCAAGGTACTGCCATCTGGTGAGTAAAATGAGAAATAAAATGTTCTCCGGGCAAAGGGAATGAATTAGTTTTATTCTTATTGGCGCGTTACTATTGAACACTCCAGCCCGGAAATATCACGGGAGCGAGAAATAAAGGGCGTAACCTCACTCAGAAGGAAAGGGTTAAAGGCCGTTTGAGTGTAAATTAGTACTGATACTGGAGTACTTAGATAGTTCATCCTATCACGCACATTCAAAACCGGAAGAACTTAAAAAATTATCTACTAACGTTTGCTTAGGTAGTTTGAAGTTTATATTTTTAACTCCGCAGTAATATATCATAAAAGGGGAGTTATAATATGTTGAAATAAAAAAAATAGACTATTAATGCAAGAATTAATTTCAGTTTGAGTTTTCTTGTACTAAAATTATTCAACACTGCTTACACCTCCTAGCGTGATTTTTGGGAGTCATTCCCTATTTTGAAAAATTCTAATAATTTAGTTCATGATCTTTCTATCTCACTATTTGGAAGTTTATTTTAATTTAATCCAGTACTATTACTATAATTAGTAGATACTTTCATCTAGTACTATTATTAATACTTTGGAGTTCCCCGTCAAATCCCCATTTTCTTATCTTCCCTTTGTTCTTCTGTCCCTATTGGTTAAACCACTTTACAACTGTTTAATCTCTTTACTTCATTTGACACTGAGGAAGGTTCTTGTTTATAGAACTAAAATTATAGTATGTTATAAACAGTTTAGCATATCCATCAAAGGATAGTAGGACAAAGTATACCCTATCCTTTGTTGGATATGCTAAATCATATTTCAAATTGTTATAATTTACACCTTGGCTACGTTTTATAATAATAATGATTCGACATAGGGTGATTTTAAAATAACTGCCAACACATGACCCTCCGGAGCGTTTGAATGAAATTTTTATACATCGGTATTAAGATCTATGAGCTCAAGAATGAAATCAAAAACGATTGCAGGGTTACAGTTTCATTGTCAACATTTTGACATTTACAAAGGGTAATCCCTACCTTTTTTTGATCGAAACATAATTCTTGTATTAAAAAATTTAAAATAAGAGTTGGAACGATGATTTTATAACAAGAAATGGTGGAGCTAAGCTTTTATCAAGAGTATCATCGCTTTTCGTGATCACTAACGAAAAGAGAGTCATAAAAGCCTTTAAAAACAGGTTAAAAATTTACGAAACCTAAAATTCTTTCTTTGTAATTTCTTCTCTGACATCATATAGGGATGACACTTTTACCTTAATTAAAACCCATAAAATATCCTTGAGAGCATACAAAGTTTTATTCCATTCACTCAAACAGTATATGCTCTCCAGAGGGTCATAAGGAGTCAAATTTATTTTATTAACACCCTGTAATCAGTTTGTCACATTTGTTGTGACTTCTCAGAGATGCAACAGAGTTCAAATCCGGTGCCTTTTAAAAAATATTATACGTATTTCCTAAAATGCACAATAGGAGCATCATTTGTAGAATGGAATCATCTTGGCAGTTTATAGTAAAAAGTTGCCTGATATACAACGAAAAATTTGCAAAAAGCTATCACAATCTTAATAATCATGCACTTATGCATATTTAAAATCATCGTTAATTCAAAATATAAAGTCATTACAAAATACTTATATTTTCACTATAATATCAGATGAAACAAAAATAAAGACAACTTAACTGATACAGTTCAAGCACATAATATGGCTGGAAAAATGCTTCGAGTTCGACGGATTTGGTTGGTTATATTATATATCTATGGTTACATACATATATATATATGGGTCAGCAGTCATGTGGCAGTTATGATCTTAAAAGTTTAATCAGGAGAGCTATCAAAAGTTTAGAATCCTTAATTTTAAGTTTCCGCATATTTCGAAATACCTCAAGAACTAGTTAAGCGAAATTTTTGCACCTAGTTATAAAATTCATTTATCCATGCTTTCTATAGACAAACTAAACATTTCATGTTTATTTATTTGGTTTCGGGTGAGAAAATGTCTTCTTCAGGGGGATAAAATATATGATTATTAAAACTTTGTTTTTCAAACTGATAGAGAATGAAGTCATGTAAACAGTTTAGCCCATATTCAAGTTTTTCTTGTTAAAGGAAAAGTATGATTTTTATGTTCTATAATTTTCACTTTTGTATCCTTGTGGATAAGGTCAAAGAGCAGTATTTTTTGATTAAATTTTCAAACTGTAAATTACGAGATGACCTCACTAATAACAAACCTGTCCAAGAGTTCATGTTGATTTTTTTAAAAATTGCTATCTACATACATATATATCTTAAAACTTTTGGATTTTTCAAAGAATTCGAAATATATTTTCTTATAAACAAACATTCAACATGCTTCAAAAACTCAACCTTACATTGGCATGCATTAGTCTTTGATCAGTATAGAGTGAAATTGGGGAATTTTGCTACTTGCCAGTGGTAGCATTTTTAACAGAGAATACTGTTAAAAACTTTGAGGCCAGCGGTGACCAGTAATTTTGTCCTATACTGCTCAGTATATTTTTTATGCTTTTGGGTGTTAACTTTTATAACTTTAACCCACTGACGATTCTGCATGTAAAAATTCATATTTTTACCAGAAGTCTTCTCCGCATAGCAAAACCGGTTTCTCCATGTTATTAGATGGGGAAATAGTGCTTTGGAGAGCAACATTCTCCTAATTTTGACCATTTGCTAAACCGCCAGTGGGTTAAAAAAATACATATATCTTTTAGATAATGCAGACAAAAACTATGCTTTATGAAAAGCCTCAGGCTGCTGTAAAAGATATAATATGCAAATAATTTATTGTTTTTTATTGTAATTAAGTAATTATTACATCAATTAAAATAACATCTGACAAGCCGGAATTTTTTGATCGCCACTGTATATCGATGAAATGGGGTGATCTGCTTCTTTTTAAATAACACTGCTAAATGAGTGAAGTTCACCCAAACAACTATTTTTTTTCCCATTCATCTTGAACTCTACTTTGTAATAGTTTATACAAAAATAATAATCAAAATTTTATATGTGAAAATATTTAAACAAATTTTTTTTATAGTGTGGTTGCAGAAAAAACATTTTGAAAAATATTCTTTATTAGAAACAAAAAACACTTTCGAGACTAATTTGGTTAAAATTTATTGAAGAAAAATAAAACATAGATTAAAAATAAGTAAAATGTTGATATAATTCAAAAACTGTTTGCAAGTAAGATGAAAGAATTTTTATGACTCTTCACTGGGTTATATATTTATAACTTATTATCCGCCGGGAAAAAAGAGGCCTTATGTAGCAATTAGCCCAAAGAGTATTGGTTGATCATGTCACTTCAAATAAATTTGCCAAAGTGACAATCAAGAACTATAAAAATTATGGGCTCATGCTCCTCCCTCTCCAAGAGGCAGAAAAGAAAGTTATTATCAAATATACCTTTTATGCACTCTCATACTAAAATTATTAAAACCAATAATTTTTCCAATTTATTTAAAGAACAAATAATTCTGAACATGTGTTAGAAAAACAAGAAATAAATGAGAGAACAAAGAATATTTTAAAGATGACGAAATATAAGAAGCTTTTCAGACACCATACATAACAGACATATTAAAGTTAAGCTTCTAAATACGATTGCAATGTATTCTACCTCGCTGGTTTGACACACTAAGACACAATTTTTTATTTCTTTTGTTTCTGACATGAAGATATTCAGTTTGATTGTTAAACTCGTTGTATTAATAAAAAAGTATAATATCTTCAAACAAAGATATTTTAACTTTCAAAATATAACGTAACAGAAGCTCCATAACATAACCAAAAGAAGAAGAAACAGTTTTACAAAATTGAATAGTTTCAAGTAAAGAATTCGCAATCTACCACATGACAGAATAACTAAATATTTTTATAGCAATAAATCTCTCTCTTTTTTTTCACGTTAAGAACTGAACATCTTCAGAAACTATTCGAAAGACATGGAAAACTATTTCCATCAAGTTAATCTGAAACAAAAACTAAACTGAAATGAATCAAGCTTTTCCAATCTTAATTCTAACCTTAATAATTTATATACAAAAAACAATCCTATTTGCTAATATGTTTTGTCAATTAAACTTTTCTCTTATTTCATCGTCACAGTTTGGTATTAGTAAGTGAATCCTTTTGCAATTTCATCAAAAGTGAATAGCAGCATGAAATATGTATCTTTCAGTAAATATTAAAATTACTTTAACCATTATGCATAAAAAAAAACCTCTTCACCAAATCAAACACAGGCAGAATTAAAAAAAAAAATGCACAACAGGAAGAGTTTCAGATCCATACATTTTTAATAAATAAAAAATGCTAGATTATATCACATGGCGTGCTGATACAACACAACTAGGGAAATTAGTCTAAAAAAAAGTTCTTCTAATAAGCCCTGATAGCCGGTGGGACTTGTTTACATTCTTTGGAATCCAAAGTTTCATCGATTACTGGTCTGTACTCGAGTTGAACCTACGAAGAAAACAAAGTGTTTAGTGAGGTATAAAATAGTAGCCATGTAGATATTTTTCTAATAGCATTTAACAATTCAACTATTTTATATTTAGTACATACGAAGTAAGCTAATAAAAATATAACAGTAAAAAGTCAACCTGGAGTCATTGGGACATTAGAAGTCCAGAAAATAGAATTTTTCTGAATAATGGATTTTATTGAGGTAAAAGATCAAAGCTTTATTTATTAAGAAATAAATGAACAAAAATAAACGTCAAATAATTTTAATACTATATCTTTTCTTATAGGTAAAATGACATTTAACTACGAAAAAATATGCGTGATAAAATATTTTTTAAAAAAATGAAATGCTTAATTTTTTTTAAATTTTATGTGAAGAATAAGCACCATTCTTACTAATATTCAAAAAAATATAATATTAAAAAAATAAACTTCATATTTTAAAAGCAAAATAATTTATTTAAGTAGGTACAGTTTCAAGAAGAATTATTAATGAAAATCTTCACAACTGAAACACAAAAACAAAGCCTGTCTTGCATGGGTTTCTAGATATATATATATATCTATACATGTATCTATATTATGTATATATCTATATTATATAGATATGTATTATAATAGTTAGTATATGTACTAATTTTAATATTAATCTCTTAAATGATGATTACAGAAACTATGCTGTAGTAAAAATAAAGGCCGCTGTGAAAGACAAATAATTTTAATTTTATTACTTTATAGCAAACAAGTTAAAAGAATACACTGGGTGGAAAAATTGCACATTTCTAAATACATATATACAATGTAAAAAAGGAAAGAGACTTGCGTATTTTGATTGCTAAAAAGTGTCCGGAAACGAAAAACAGACCTCCCAACATTCTTTTCTCTAGCTTATATTTTCAAATGATTCAAGTCTCAAGTCAGTAGATAGAAAATAATTGTTGGTATTACAATTTACTTTTCATAATTTTAAATTAATCATTTGGTTAAAATACTTTGAATTTTTATCTTAATTAGGAGAGAATATAGAAAACTTTAAGCACACAAACTGAGTTTTCAATCTTAGAATTTTAAAATCTTTGACCAAAAATTAGTACTTGCATAGGCTGTCATGATTCATGAAGGTTATTATTTTCTTGAGAAACAAAATTATTGTTATTTGAGTCATGGTATGAACACTTATTCGCTTTTAACATATCCTCTAACAAATACAGAATTTCCGTAGTGCCTGAAAATATCTTTCTTAGAGATAGCAAATTTAATGTATTAAAATTTTAACGAATTTAAATTAAAAGAATTTTGTTCACTACTACTCATAGTTTAAACAGATACATGAAAGGTCAGATAGCCTAATAGTCATGTCCCTAAGTTCTAATTGAAGTTCAATCAAAGCTACAGTTATGTTTCTGCTTTAATTTACTACTACTGGAAAAAATATTTTACATAAATCTCAAATATAAGAGGGCATGTTTTAATAAAATGAATAAAATTACCATTCAATCAAAAATTTTATTGCTTATTTTCAGCCAAATGCATATAACCTCAGTTAAGTTAAGAAGTCTAAACTTTTCAAGAATAAAATAATAAACAATACATTACAAAATCATAAAAATGAAAACCAGACTTCAATCTAAGAAATTTGAGTTTCCTTAATAAATATATAATAGAAAAGGTCTGGCAATGGAGTCCAAACTTCATGAAAGGAAACAAAATATCAGTAAATTGATATGAGTAGAAAAAGAAAACGATAACAAAACAGAAAATAGTGCTTTAAACAAATATTTGCCGAGATAATCTGCAGCTCTAAATTTCTTCACTAAGTATGACTTTAAAAATAATGTTATAAAAAGTAATAAAAATCTGCCTCTTAGAAGCATTTTATTTCCTGACTTCCAACTGAGTGAGAACTATACCTTTCCATCCTTGTCGACCCAAGAGAGTGTGTGTTTCCTCCAATGCTCTGAAATGGGCTTCTTCTTTTGACCTTGCAAAGGTTTTGAATAATCATACTCATCCATGCGATCCTGAATTAAAATTAACATAACTGAGTACTGAAAAACCATACAACAAAGTAAAAAAAAGAACTGTTTCAGAACTAGGGGTGAACAAAATATATTCCATTCATTTATTATCTATTTTTTTGTTAATGAAAGAGTAACTGTTTTCGCAAAGAACAAGATGTAAAGCAAAAAAAAAAAAAAAAAAAAAAAAAAAAAAAAAAAAAAAAAAAAAAAAAGATAGTTAAAATGATAGGGGGAAAAAAATGATAGATATAGATGTGAGTTTGTTAAATACCCAAAATTATGGTTTTTATAATTTTTTGTTCTTTTTAAAGCATATAAACAGGACTTATCATGCTTATAGTTCAGAGAATAATAAAAATATCGCTAAGTTTCAAAAATAAACTTAAAAACTTAAAATATATCAGTTCTAGAAAAAATATTTGAAAAATTATAAATACTTGGTGGAGAAACTTTGTTGCTTTAAAAAAGTAATATAAAAAAGTTTGCATGGTGTTATATAACAAAATAGGAATTATATTAAATCATTTAAGTTTAAGATTGGACATTTTCAAAAAGAGATTCTAAATAAAAAAACAGAGAATAAGTTTAAAATTCATGAAATGTGTTAAAACTAAGTTTTAAACTCCTTTTTTTTAAAATTTCAGCTATATTGAGCTTGTACATTTAATATGTGTGATAAACTAAAACTACAAATTTCATATTCTAATTTTTAAAGAAATGTATTCATAAAACTATCTCTTTGAAACTAAATTTATCTTTTTTAAAGAAAATATAATTGTTTTGAAATTCTTCAATATTTTATTGAGACTTTTTTTATTTATTAATAAAAAATTAATATAGTAAATAAAATTACAATAAATTAATTTTATTTAATATTTAATTAATAAAGAACATTTAATAAATATTCTTTTTTCCATTCCTGCAAGAAATATTAAAATTCTGATTAGGAATAGAATGATAAACATATAATTTTTAATGGGGAAATAAACATAGTTTTTTTTCCTCAGAGCAGTTTTTTCCCATAGAGAAAAAAGCTTCCCGATCTCATTTAAACTTAGCATACAGAAGTATTGAAACATTTAAGTTAGCATACATTTTATACCCCTTTAAAAACCATACTAATATTAAGCTATAATTCTCAATTCATTAGTAATAATGAAACAAAAACTCATAAATTTGTATTATAATAATTAATATATAAATTTGTCTCATAAATAATCTTATTGGGCATTATTATTATTCAGAAAGATATCATCACGTCACAATTAAATATGGATCAAATAAGGAACTATGTACGATTCATGTGCAGGAAAAGCTGTGTATGATAAACTTTTTAAAATAAATTACATAGGACCTGAAAAACTCTTGTAATTCAAAACTATATTTCTGCCAAAACTTTCCTTGTTTAGATGTTACTTTTAAAATCTCAAAGGCTGGGAATAATGATTAGAAATGTAAATTTAAAGATTACCATAACCACTCTCAAATAAAGAAAACTAAAAAATAACAATTTTAATAATTTATATGTTCAACTGAATGAATTTTTCTTCCTAGTTAATGACGTAAGCGAAATTTAATTGTGTCTTAAATATATGTAATTTTGTATAAAGAAAACCATAACCATGAATTTTCAATAAAATTGATAAATACCCAAGTATTAATGAATTTTAAGTACTTGTCCGGGTAATTGCCCAGAGTATTTACCCTAAGTTATAGAAATTGTGGTAATTTAATTCTATAGGATGGGTACAAGAAAAGTGTCAATATTACAAAATATTTATTAAAAACGTTATTTTTTTAATATATCATCTTGAAAAAATAATTAAACTAAATTATTATTAAAACAACTTAGTAAAATTTTGTGTTTTATTTTTTACATTTTATAGTTTTGGTGCAACATTAATTTAAAAAAAATTAAGATAGACGTGGAAAAAATAATATGTTTATCTTGTAGAATATACAGTGAACTCTCACTACTACAATATCCAATACTACAATAACACTCTTTATTACGATACGATATTCTCTGAAGCAATAAGCCCCTGTAAAATCATTTTTTTCCAAATTTCAACCTTATTTTCTCCATTTATTATTGATCTTCAAATAATGTAAAAAATCTTATTTTATCATCTATTGCCATTTTTTTCAAACTTTTCTGACAAGAGAAGATTCACTGCTGACTACCAAAAGAGCTTCCATTCTTAAAATTGCCTCCCTTATCACTTAAGAAATCACAAATGTAACATTCCTATCTGATTTCATTCTCTTTATGTTAAAAGCTGATCATGAGTCACAAATAACCACAATCATCACACCTGAAAGGGAATTGTTATTTGTAGAGGGTGGGTGGAGCACCATTCACAATGTGCTTTGGACTCAATGCTTACGTTGTTGTTGGTTGATTTGACAGTCAAAAAAATGAATAAACAAGCATCAGATTACTTTCAATAAAAATGGCTTTCAGGTACGTTTTTATCTAATTTTCTGAATTTATTTCAATTGTTCTTAATATTTAAAAATAATTAACACTCAGCAAAAATTGTTTTTGCATAATATATAAATACATTTATAGTTAATACATATATAACTTAGAAATTAAAAAAAAAATCTTATTGTGTCCCCTAAGTATGTAGGCCTTCGATATAACACTATATCCCTCTACAACAATATATTTATTGGGTCCCCAAAATATTGTTGTAGCGAGGTTCTACTGTATAGTTTTTAATGAATAAAATTTTTTTTGATGTTTGAATATGTTACTTTAAATAGTTTTTGTACAAAGTGTACCAAATGGAAAATACAGAGTGATCCAAAAACCTAATACCACCAAGTTTTATAATTATTTACATTTCAATATAGAGACAGTTTATACTGTGTTTTATCCAAACGGTGCTGTTAATAAAATTCATTGCTCAGATTTCCTTCAAACCAATATCATAAGTCAAATGTTTAAATAATGTTTGTTTTCAGCTAGCATTATTATTTTAAGAGATATTCAAGAATGAATGTCGTAAACACAAAATTTCTAAAACTCTTGTTGCATACTCAATCGAAAAAAAACTTAAAATGTTATTCTTTTATAATTTTATCTAATTATAATTTTATTATTTTTGTATTTTTCTCATGTAAAATTAAAATATTTAAGGAATTCTAATCTAACCATATGGTTTCTCAGTTTAGTATAGTAATTGTTTTTGTTTTCACAACTAGAAACCTGTATCTGTACAGTGCAGAACAAAAGAATAAAATTTCTTTTTTCTAATAAACACATATGCAATAATAAAAAAAATAGTTATGTTTATGCATAATTTTACATGTTTTTCATATATTTTATAATTTTTGCCAGCTTTTTAGGGTAAAAAGATAAACAGTTCCAGAAATATCATCTCTGGAATACAAGCAATATTTATAAACTTTTGATATAGTGATTACTAAACAATTCGAATTTTGAATAAAAAATCAAATATTAATCAACAAAACAGTAAAACTAAATGTTAACATATAATTAGTTTTTAAAAGAACTTTTTTTAAATTAAAATATGCTATAAAAAGTTAAAATGAAATCGAGAAAACTAACATCAAGGCAACAATCGTAATGATTCGTCAACAGTTAGTGATTGTAAGAAAATGTGGATTGGTTGGCTTTGATGAGAAAAATAATTCATAGATTTCTTTGGATAAAAATATAAAATCTTTTAGAAAAAAGAGAGCAAAATAAAATCTATTGTTATTAAACTATAACCAACTAATTTTTGGAAATTTTCATGAAGTTAAAAGTGCTAAAACATTTTAATACATTTTGTCAAAAATAAAATACCCCAAAACATGGGAACAAACTTGAACAATAAATGGATCCAACCCGCGGACTAGAAGAAAACTTAAAAAAAAAGAAAAAAAAAAGCTTTTCTAAACAGAAACAAGTATCCTAACCCCTTCTTTCAACTCCACCACAATCTTTGCCTTTCCTAAGCTGCATACTCCCATAGTTTTCAAAGAAGTCAAAAGTTTCTCCATTCATTTAGCAACCATGTTAGAGTTTCATGTTTCATTTTAGTAAACTGGTTTACAATAGAGCAAATTTTGATGCAAGCAAAGTATTGCTAAGTTGACGATATTTCAAATTTATGGCAATGAATTTCTGTCGAAAAAAACTAGGTATAACGAACAGTAAAATAATTTAAATTGAAAAGATTAGTAAATAATTTAATGTAGTATAATACAATTAAGAACATGGAAGAAAAAGTTCCAGATTTCCTTTAAAATTCCCTGATTTTTCCAGGTTTTTATCCAAATTTTCTTGATTTTTCCAGGTTTTCAAGTATAAAAAATTCCCTGATAATTCCAGGTTTCAAAGTCTTTCCAGGTGGGTGTCCACCCAGTGAATAAAATTGTACTGAAACAAATGGAAGTGCAACAGTCTGCTATATAGTTCTCTTACCTTAAAGTCTTCACGTGCATGAGCGCCGCGACTTTCCTTCCTTGCTTCAGCAGAAATCATTGTCTGAACAGCATTCAGCATCAGATTCTGCAACTCAAGTGTCTCCACAAGATCAGTGTTCCATATCAGTCCTTTGTCACACACCTACACACAAAAACTACCGCTTTAAGCATTTCTGTTAGAGAAAGGTAACACACAGTAATCGAGGTGACACATTAGCTTAATTGAAAGAATACTGATTCATTACAATATGATTTCATCCAATGCTTCAAATTAATTTATTTGAATCACTACACTAATATCAACTATAAAAAAGACATTCATAAATTATTATTGATTTTTTTTAATCAACACACAAATTTTCGTTAACAAAAAAACAAGATCTTTTTCTCTTTAAAAAATATATAAAATAGAATTTTTTTTTGTTAAAAGATTTTTGCAAAAATAATTTAATCCTATTTTTTTTATGTATGCCAACTAAATCCCCCCAGAAATGCATAGCTTAATATTATTTAAAAACAATATTATAGAGTAGGTACTTAATAATTTTAACAAAAATGGTAGAAATTATATAAGTACAAATTAATCCATAAAAAATAAAATGGCAGAATTGTTCATGTAAGTTCAATACTCTGACGAATTTGTAGAGAAAAAGACAAAATGTGTCAATTAGATGATTGCTATTTATCAGTAAGATATGAAGAATAAGTCTTTTTTCATGATTTACATACACAAGCTACATATTTATAAGTATTTTTATTCAAACATGAAACTAAATTAGTATAGTTAAAAAATGTTTATTAAATATCAAGTTATTTTAAATACAGCTAACGGAAAATAAAATTTTAAAAGTTTCACATCACTTTAATCCACATTCAGTGTTTATTTTATTATTACTTTTTAGTCCATTTTGAACATTAAAAAATATTTTATATACATCTCTCATTATTTCTCTATAAACCTCTAAAAAATCAACTCAAACATTAAACGCAGCCTTAAGAGTGTATTTATAAATTATTACAAATGAAGAAAAAAATTTTTTTTCCTCTTGTATCAATGATTTTTTTACATGAAAAAAAAAATCTAATAATTTAAATCATGGCAATTTTGGGAAAAGCATTGAATAAAAGAAATATAATTTTCAATGAAATTTAACTGTCTGTGTCATTGATTCTAAGATTTGCTTGATTTTGAGTGATGTTCAACTGATTCAAATTCCCAATTCAGTATTTAGCTCGAATTTATACCATACCTTAAGGTCTTTCTGTTGCTCAAAGCATTCAGATATTTTCTGCACACCTTCCTTCAAACTTTCTCCAGTCCTGAAGACGGCAGCATGACCCTGCATAGTCTGAAAGAAAACAAGCATATAAAATATTCCAGGTGTATTGTAGAATATAGCTTGTTATATATCTATGATTTTTTTTTTGTTAAGTATCGTTTTGCTGTGAGCACTGATAGGTGACGCGTGCATTGCAAAGAGTGTTTGTGTCATGGCTCGGCATTCCTTGTGAACTGGGTTCAGTTGCAGCTGCGTAGCTAAACTGTATGGTGAGTACTGTGTTTTTAAAATGTTCGAATGTAACAAATCTACCACCATGCATGAGATACAATCAGTGATGCGTTTTTAGTCAGCAAAAAACCTGTCTACTGCATACATTAACTGGCAGATTTGTGAAGTTACGTTTTGTGAATTAGCAAAATTCCCTGCTATGCTGACAGGGAATTTTGCTACTCTATGACAATGACTCTCTCCGCAGATTAGATCCCATCTTTATAGAATCTTTTGGTTGGGACCACCCCTCGTCACAGCCCTGATCTTGCTCTGATGGATTTTTATATTTTCCGATATTTCAAACATCATTTTGGGGGCTACATACAACGATGACGATACGTGAAAAAGGCCATGACCTTCAGGTTAATGTAGCAGGTGGCAAGTTTCTATGAAGAGTATATTCTAAATCTAATTGCAAGGTATGATAAGTGATTCCACAAACTTAGAAACTAGGCTGAAAAAAAGAGAAACGTATATAGAATTTGAAAAAAAATTTGCTTTCGTTTGGTTTTTATTTTCAAACGGCCCTTACTTAAAAAATAACCCTCGTGTATATATATATATACACATACTGACCAATGAATTAGAAACCTTAGACTAATATTTAATCTTATCTTCTTATGTACTGATAATAGCTTGTATTTATGAGGACAGAAATTCTAAAAGCTTCTGGGGAGCATTTATGTCCACATAATATCATGCATTGGTTACACAGATTTTAAAATCCAGTAAATGAGATGGAACGAAAGATCACTGTTGAAGGTACCTTAACATGTCCTAAACATCATCTATTAGATTATGATCCAGTTTTCGCATTGGCCAAGGAAGCCGTTGGAAGCCAAAATGATGTTGAATGAACCAACTTTGAAAGCTTCTTGCACACTATACAGTTGCATTATTGCCCGTCAAGTATCCGCCAATTTTGGAGAAAAACATGACATTACAGAATGCACTCAATCTGCCAATATGTCCAGACATTACATGTTTTTGTTGTTTTTCCTCGAGAAACACCAGGGCACCACTTTCATACTATGATGTTACTCCCATTTCCAAACTAGGCAAGATGGGTTCGCTTTCACAAAATTCAACATTAGGGCAACAAAAAAAAGGTGCTTCACTCGTCCACATTAATAATGTCTGGTACTCAGATATCTTCTTTCTTGACACTACAGCAAACACATTCTGGTCTTTCGGGCAAACATGAGAGGCATCCTCAAGGGCATTTGACCACATATTCACCTTCTCGGAAATTCTCTGTGCACATGGAAACCAGTCGAGAAGAACCTAAATTTAAGGGTCTTGCTCATTGAAGCAAAATATAGTTTCTTTTTTGCTGTCCAATTTGATGGAGACGACAGTGATCACGAAAAATTGTGCTCTGACGCCCGAGAACAAAAAGTTTCCAGACAATTATTTTTTAGATAAAATTTATGACATTTAAAATAAAAATACAAAAAAAAAATAGATAAAATTGAGAGGCTAATTGTAAATAGATTAAATAGGTTAATTAAAAATAATATATAAAAATATACAGAAATGATATCTATAAGTGAGATAATTCTAAAGAAAATAAGAAAAAATACTTTTTGCATTTGTAATCTCAGTTGAGATGTATATGTTGATCCATCAGCATGTCTCATTCTGTCTAAATTAGCAACTGATTCTTCACCATCCGTCTAAAAATATTAAAACAATAATCTTAATTTCGTGATGTGTCATTAACACATCAACAAAATCTATTTATTTAAATAATTTTTATGTCTTACAAAAGTTACAAAATGTGTATGAAAGTTAAAGAAAATGCAAATAACCTTTATTACAAGTAATCATCATTAAAAATTAGAATTGCATTTATGATTTGAAATAATTGTCATTTATGATTACCATTACTTATTTATTTTTTACTTCTAATAGCAAGATTAAAAAACAACTACCATAATAAATGCAAAGAACAATATAGAGAACAAACAAAGACAGAGGAAAAAAACAGAGAAAAATAACTGTAGAGACAGTATTCAAAAGATCCTCCAAGTAAACGGTTTATTTGGTTAAAGCTTGAGACACTCAAAAGACTGAACTTAGTTTTTTACTAACTAACACAGTCTAGCCTAGTTCAACAGAACTATATTGTTCAATGACTTCAAAAAGCATCTTTCCTGGAGAATATCAAATTACTTGTTTAATTTTTTTAATAAAAAATATTTACAGATATTTTTAATAGCAAAGAAAAATAAAAGCTACCTCGTATCTCTTTTTACACCATTTGCTAAAAATAAACCACCTATTTTTTTTTTTGTAGTCATTCATATAATATCTTTACATATTTTTCACTTCATAAATTTTTCGTCCTAGCTCTATAAATTTTATTTTTTAAAAAATAATCTCAATTTGAGCATTTTATTCTAATTAACTCAACATTTCAAAAAATGAGGGGAAATACAAACTCAAGCAGATTCAACACTGAAAATATCGGAAGCATTAATATTCCAATTCTTTCATAGCAGCATCGCATCATTACTTATTTATTTTGAAAATTACGAAAAATTATATTTTTTATTAAAAAGCAATATTATTTTAAATTATTTTCAACCAAACATAATTGTTAATTTTTTAAGGAAAAAAAATTTTTTTTCTTCGAAAAATTCAAAAAACAAACTGGAAATATATTCAATGTAGTCTGTTCACTGGCTATTTCTCAAGATTTATTTCAGTTCTCAGTCCTGAAGAGTGCAGGGATGAGAGTAGCCGAAAGGCAAAAAAGCTGAATTTCCACGATAGTAAATTTTACGCAAGCGCAACCCTTTAATAATAAATTTCAGACAGTTTAAGGTAATAAATAATGTGTTGACATACAATTGTGTACTAATCTATTATTATATAAATGATTACATTGATACTTAACATTTAGTGAAAATAAAAATTACCAATTGAAAAAATAAAGCTGGAAATTATATTTTCCCTCAGTTCACATAAGAGATAATTATTACTTGAAAAACTACCTGGTTTAGCAAATTAAAACTACAGAGAATATACATTAATATTTCATTTCTTTTAATAAATACTGTTATGTGATTTACAGTAAATTTATCAGTAATATTACTTCTTAAATTATATTGAAAACAAAAACTTTTACAATGGACCGAATCATTATGTTCATATTATAGTCTAATCTAACTAGAGCCCTTTGAAACATATCAATAACAGTGAAGTAGAAATATATAGTAAGTCCTTAACATACAATTTTGCTATTTAGTTTGAAAAATTACATGACAATCAGCAACTGTTTAGATAATTGTTTTTTATTTGATAAGAATTTTGCATTTTATAGCATAAATAACAGCAATTATAAATAAAATTTTGATGATGAGTTAATTAACCCTTTTTCCAAAAAAAAAAAAAAAATAAATAAATAAATTAAATCTCTTTTTAAGTGATTGCTTTTGTTCGCTATATCTTTTATGCTTGCTATATTTAGTCGGTAGTCCATCTTCAAACATCTTGTGACAAATCCTATTTTTTCTTTTCAAGCACAGAATGTAAGTTTTGAATATATTCCCTTCCGGTTTCTCTGATGTTGTAAGACTTACATATACTAATAATCGTTGTTAGAAAAACAGTCACCTTAATAGTAACTAATTTTTTTTAAAAAATTCCTTCTTACAAGAATCGCGATAGTTGATCTTAAAATTGCGTGAATATGAATAACAATTATGGATTTTGAAATCACATGAATATGAAACTAGATATACGATTTTGAAAATGAGAAAATACAAACTGGGATATAGAATTTTTTAAACGCATAAATACTAATCACGATTCATAATTTTTAGATAGCGTAAATACGAATCATGATGCGTAATTTTTAGATAGCATAAATAAGAATTATGATGCATAATTTTTAGAGTGCGTGAATGCGAATCCCAATGCCTTATTTTAAAATCACGTATAAATACGAAAATCGTTTGATATTATAAACCACATGAGCAAATCAAGACATTGAATTTTAAACTTGAGTGAATACGAATCGCTACATAGGTTTTTAAAAAGGCGCAAATACGATATCGGATTTTTAAATCTCGTAAATAAGAATCGCAACGTACTTTACTCAAATAGCGTGAATAAGAATCGCAACACGCAAATATGAAAAGCTATGTTTGATATTAAAATTGTATGAATAGGAATCGAGATATTAGCAGATTCCAGGCTTGGGACCTCTAAAAGGTTTGTCAGAAGCCGCGTCGTTTAAAGTACTTAAATCGGATTTATCTGGAGGGTGGGTAAAAAATTCAGAAAATCTTATCTGCTGCGTGTAAAAGGGGAGAAAATAGCTAAAATAAGTAAAAATGAGAAAGGATTGGTAGCTATGTAGTTTGAATTTTCTGTCTCTCTTTGAAAATCGGTGAATTTTCTAAAAAAGCGGAATACTTATCAAAAAAAAGTGAAATTTTTAGAAAATCTGAATTTTTGATAAAAAAGCTGAAATTTAAGAGATAAAAGTAAAAAAAGCGGAAATCCGCTAAAAAGCGGAAAAATCTCATACCTGAGAGTGGCATCCACGATTGAGAAGTCGCCATGCATGACCTGTATATCAGGTAACAAAGACAGCAGATAATGCAAGTGCTTTAGGAGACTGCTCTGGTCAGATCTAACTCAGCCACTATTTTATGATTACGATATTTATGAGCTTGAATGCCATACCATCAAAATTAGTGACTGATCTCAATGACCTCCCAGTCTTGCATTTTTGAGAAACCACAGTAAATCATTCATTACAAAAAAAGGGGGAACTTGAGAAACAAATTCAGTTAACAGAGGTATAAAGGTGAAAGGAGTGGATTACAATTGTAACTTTAATTACCTAGTTTGAAATAATAATAGAAAAAGTTCTAAACATAAATTTTTTTTTCTTCTTCTAGTTAAACTAAATAGTAATATAAATATATTAAATATTTTTTTTCTTTTAATGGCATAATCTTTAGATAATGTGTTTTATGTTAATGGGAAGCAAAAACTTTCTGATTCAAAACATCAACAGCATCCATTAATTTTAACCCCTCAAATCTCTAAATTCACGTCCTAGTGGTTTAAGTGTATGAAGGTTTAGTGCAAATCAAAAATTATTAAGGGTAAACCTTATGTCTTCTTTAGCGACACAAAAACACTTAAAATTTCTGCAAATGCTGAACTATGCAACACTGTAAATTTAATACAAAAGTTATTTAAAAAAAAAAATTTATAAATATCATTATGTGTAACAAAAATGCGATTTCATGTACTTATGGAAAACTAATTGCTGAATCTTTTCATGTATTAAGATTTAATGAATGATCAGAAAGATAAGAAATAAGTGATTTATGTTATTTAATTTATTTCATGAAAATATTTCTTAGAGTTTTCTACAGAACAGAAGAATGTCACATAAATGAAAGTTTAATATTTTTTTTTTAGAAAAAGAAAAAAAACAACAACATTGGACATAGTAATGTACATACTCATCAAATACATACATATTTTGATAATATATGTAAGCATAAAATATTCAGAAGCTCTCGGAAAAAATAACTATTTTTGGAGGAGAAATTGAGAAACAGTTAAAGACACTGAAAATTTTATGAGCGAAAAATCGGTATTAAGATATCAATTTATATGCCATACATATTTCATATTGAACATTAATTTTTGGAACTAAGATTTATAATTAAAATAACTACAGAACTGAAGCCATCACAATCAACACACTACTGACAAGCCTTTTTGATTTTCAATGCATGAAATATGCTTGTAGAAGAACATTTCTGATTATTAGCTTTATTTAAAGAAGGGATGTGTCATAACATAAAATATATAAACATTGAAATATTTGACCTATAGAGCATCAAATCTCTAGCCACTCTCTTTCAAAGTTAAAAACCCTATCCTGATCCTATCCAAGCGTATTAGTTCTTGAAAGTGTACCTATCTAAATTTATTCACAATAAAACAAGCAAACGAAAATTTCCTTCGGCAATAAATATTTTTAATTAATGATTGATGAGCCACGGTGGCTCAAAGGATAGAGCATTCGCTTTCCATTGAGGTGAACCCGGGTTCCAATCCTAACGATGGCTGATCGATAGGCATTCCGCACCCAGCTCCCATCGACCACATTGCTGACATAAAATATCCTCAGAAGTAGACAAATCATGTGTTAGAGTCCCCTTGCTATCAGGCTAATCATGAAAGGTTTTATTCTCCATGTAAAGAAAATGCTGGTTAGTTCCATCAAAAAGTCCTCCACAAAGGCAAATTTCTCAGAATATGCCAGGACTTTCCTTGTTTTCTGGATTGGGTTCAAAATGACAAGGCTACGGAGTTTAACACTGGTAGTTGTAAACCCAAAAATTGGGTCAGCTGTTCATTGATGGTAATAAAATTAATGATTACTAAATCATAAAGAACTACAGTCTTTGGGAACATCAATACATACTTCTATAAAACAGATGGTTAGGAAGCTACAAATTATAAAGATTATTTAAATAGAGATCTATAATTGTTAAACATAAAATATTCAATGCATTTACACTTAATACTTACAGAGTGGAGATCTAAAATGGAATCACCAGGTTTATCTTCTTCTGCAATGGAGTGAGCACAGGCTCTTCCAAATACAACCAAATCCAGGAGTGAGTTTGCTCCCAGCCTATTTGCTCCATGCACAGAAGCACATCCAGCTTCTCCACAAGCATAGAGACCTGGTATAATTTTATCCTCCTTCTTTGCAGGATCATAGGTTATAACCTAAAATAAATATTGAATTACCCCTTAATTATTCACGGTAAAAAGTTTTTTTTTTTAATCACAAGAAAACTCAACCAAGCAAAATTGTATGGAAGGGAAGGAAAATATTAAATATGCATTTAATCATCCTTATTTATTTTTAACAGGGTTACCACTTAATTTCAGGAGGAAAAAAAAATCCCTAACTTTTCCAGGTATATCAGGAAAATTTCGATGAAAATCAAAACCATATTTTATCTATACCATGCAATTTTTCTTCAGACAACTTAGATTTTTTACTTGTAATGTCCGCTTTGCGGAGAATGTACGTAATGGTTTATTCATAGAAGATTCCCAGGGAATTAAAAATATGTCCGTATTGAGAGGCGTCTGTCTTGCAGGAGTGTCCATAACAGGAGGTTTCACCGTATATATATATATAAACAATTGTCATAGGTATCAGAATTACTTAACTTGGATCACAACAACTGATTACTGTTACTGACAATTCTGAGACTGATTACTTTCTAGGTATGATTAGGTTTTCAGGATTTTTTTAATAAATTACAATTTCCCCCGACTATTCCCTGCTTTTTAGAGGCAAAATAAAATTCCCAGACAATTCTAGGTTTTGCCTGCCTTAAGTGAACTAATGAGTGATATCTATTCTACTTGGCAACACTTTCAAAATACAATGTTGATACCCAATCAAAAAAATTAAGATATAGGAAGAGTTTTTTGGATTTTTTCAGACAAAATTATACTAATACAATCCAGAAATAATAATTTGCTTTGTAATAATGTGTAAGTCACTCATATGACTTTCAAATAAAATCTAAATACAGCATGCATTTTTATAATTACAGCTTAATGTGTTACTGGGTCCCGCATAGTAAAAGTAGTCCTGCAACAGCCCGCAGTGGTCCAAGGGGGAACCATTGCATAATAATATAAATGTAATAGCATAGTAACCAGCATAATATTTTCTAGTTTCTGTGACTTGTTATCCAAAATTAGTAATATATCCCTACTTTAAGGTGTAAGAAAATAAAATTTAAAGAGTTAAATTTCTTCTAATTTAATGAAACAATAATTTTATACTCCCTTGTTTTTAAAAGGCATTATGCTATATACTGCAATATGATGTTATCATCAAAAGTTTGCTTAAAACAAAAGACATCTAGAAAAAATAATCGAATATTTAACCTAAAATCCAAGGAAAGAGAGGAAAAAATGGCAAAAATTTACAGTTTATAATTATTGTATTTTAAATAATTCTTGTAGTGGGCCAAAGAAAAAAATCAGGACAACATTTTTCTAAAAAAACAGGGAATTTTCAATAAAACCAATTCAGAAGTGTAGTAGGACAGGCACATTAAAAAACCTTGAATCAGAACAAAATGCAGTTTTTTGTTTGTTTGGTACCAACTGAATTTTTACCATAAGAGATTTCATTGAACTGAGGCCACAAACAAGTTAACCATTGAGAGACTACTCTCAAAAGTTCTGAGATATATTGAAGAGATTTCAGTTAACTAAATGTGATTTACAAGGATGTCTCACTTATTCTGTCTACAGATAATTCACTGTATATTATTTCATAAACCCCTTCACAGATTCAAAATGTTGTTGACACACACATACCTGTCCTCTGTAGTTTGTAGGCACCCCACCCATGTTGTAGTGAACTGTGGGTAAAACAGGGATGGGTTCCCGAGTAACGTCCACACCAGCAAAGATCATGGCCGTTTCTGATATACCGGGAAGACGGGTGGCCAACTGCTCGGGAGGAAGATGATGGAGCTGGAGAAAGACGTGATCCTTTTCTGGACCACACCCTCTTAAAAGAAACAAACATTATTTTAACTCTACAAATACAAACACAGATTGGAGAGAATTCAGTAAACTAAACGTGACTTCAGAAGAGGTGGTATACTAATGAAGCAAAAGCAAAAGCAAAAAAGCAAATTTTAAGCATGTCATTATTTTTAAAAAGTTTTAAAGCCTTATAACTAAACTGTTTTAAATGTTTACATCAACCGTACAAGAATTAAAAAAAAAATTTATTGTATTAACTAGAATGTCACAACTGTTTAAGAAAACTAAAAAAAAAAAAAAAAAANAAAAAAAATTGATAAAAATTAATTTTAACCAACTTCAACAACTAAGTACACATTGCCCGTAGCTCACTTGTGGATTTAGTTATAATGTGAAGTTTTTTACAAATGACATTTTAAATCATGTATAATAGAACAACTGGATGGTAGTAAGAAGAAGAGGTTAATGCGTAGGCAATACTTGATGTCTAGAACAGGGATGAGATTAGCAAAAAGGCAAAAAAGCTGAATTTCCACGATAGTAAATTTTACGCAAGCGCAACCCTATAATAATAAATTCCAGACAGTTTAAGGTAATACATAATGTGTTGACATACAACTGTGTACTAATCTATTATTATATAAATGATTACATTGATACTTAACATTTAGTGAAAATAAAAATTACCAATTGAAAAAATAAAGCTGGAAATTATATTTTTCCTCAGTTCACATAAGAGACAATTATTACTTGAAAAACTACCTGGTTTAGCAAATTAAAACTACTGAGAATATACATTAATATTTCATTTCTTTTAATAAATACTGTTATGTGATTTATAGCAAATATATCAGTAATATTACTTTTTAAATTATATTGGAAAAAAAAACTTTAACAATGGACCGAATCATTATGTTCATATTATAGTCTAATCTAACTACAGCCCTCTGAAACATATCAATAACAGTGAAGTAGAAATATATAGTAACTCCTTAACATACAAAAATTGCTATTTTAGTTTGAAAAATTACATGACAATCAGCAACTGTTTAGATAATTGTTTTTTATTTGATAAGAATTTTGCATTTTATAGCATAAATAACAGCAATTATAAATAAAATTTTGATGATGAGTTAATTAACTCTTTTTCCCCCAAATTTTTTTTTTAATTAAATCCCTTTTTAAGTGATTGCTTTTGTTTGCTATATCTTTTATGTTTGCTATATTTAGTCGTTAGTCCATCTTCAAACATCTTGTGACAAATCCTATTTTTTCTTCTTTGCAAGCACAGAATGTAAGTTTTGAATATATTCCCTTCCAGTTTCTCTGATGTTGTAAAACTTACATATACTAATAATCGTCGTGAGAAAAACAGTCACCTTTATAGTAACTAATTAAATAAAAAATTTACTTCTTACAAGAATCACGATAGTTGGTCTTAAAATTGCGTGAATATGAATAACAATATTATGGATTTTGAAATCACATGAATATGAAACTAGATATGCGATTTTGAAAATGAGAAAGTACAAACTGGGATATCGAATTTTTAAAACACGTAAATACAAATATGAAAAGCTATGTTTGATATTAAAATAAAGTGAATAAGAATCGAGATATTAGCAGATTCCAGGCTCGGGACCTCTAAAAGGCTTGTCAGAAGCAGCATCGTTTGAACTACGAAAATCGGATCTATCTGGAGGGCAGGTAAAATATTCGGAAAATTTTATCTGCTGCGTGAAAAAGGGGAGAAAATAGCTAAAATAAGTAAAAATGAGAAAGGATTGGTAGCTATGTAGTTTCTGTAATTTTCTGTTTCTCTTTGAAAATCGGTGAATTTTCTGAAAAAGCAGAATACTTATAAAAAAAAGTGAAATTTTTAGAAAATCTGAATTCTTGATAAAAAAAGGTGAAATTCAAGAGATAAAAGTGAAAAAAGCGGAAAAATCTCATCCCCGCTAGAAGTAAAGAATAAAATCCCCTTTGATTCTAAAATGTACAGAGCACAAAAAAAGAAACACCCTGAATGTCTTCTGATCTATTGATCGGATTTTCATGTACGAGGACTTAATCTTAATGGTTCGAGCAGATTAGTTAGTGCTAAGAAAAAATGCTAATTAGTTAGTGCAGTTGATATTGTAGTTACGAAATTAAACACAAAAACATAAGGTAAGAGAAAGTATGTTTTCTGTGATTTTGTAGGTTTATATATCTAGCGCTCTAACTAATTGGTACAATCAAAATGAGGCCTTGTCATATAATTTGATGTTAAGATTAAGTCCTAGTAAGTAAAAATCCTATCATTCTATCAAAAGTTATTCAGGGTGTTTCTTTTTTCTAACTTTTATTCTGTTCTTTATTTTGCACACTGTACTACACCAGCATATTATGATACTGCCGAGTTACTTACCTTCCTTCCCTTATTTCGATAGTCATGGCTCGCGAAACTACATCCCTGGATGCGAGATCTTTGGCAACAGGAGCATATCTCTCCATGAATCTCTCACCCTCACTATTAATCAGGAAGCCACCCTCACCCCTACAGCCTGAAAGAAAAAAACAATATTTTTAGGATAATCAATTAAGAAAACTTTGTTTCATTTAACTTCGAACATACAAGAAAAAAATCTTGACATTTTAAAATTTTTAGAACTATATTTTCATAAATCAAAACGATGCTTTCATATTATTTGAAGAACATAAAATAATTTAATTGACATGCTGATATACTGAACAAGCAAAATTTACGATCAGAATAAAATTTGTGAAATCACAAATATAAACTAGAAGAATGAATTGCAAATCATTTATTGAGTCAGGGAGTTTGATTTAATAAGAAACACATCTTTAAAAAGTTGTTAAGCAGTATTAATTTTGATTGAATGTATAAGAGCATAAAAAATTGACACAGATATTATCTCAATAATTCACAACGTTGCATATCATGTTAAATTATTTGGAAAAATCTTTTAAGAGTAAAGTTATTCTCTAATTAGGAAGCAATCAGAACAATCAAATTTTCTCCCTTTCAAGGTCATTTTTATGCTACTATACACTGTAGACAATTATATAATAACATTTATAATAATCCGCTGTGCATTTGTGCAAACATAATTTTACAATGGATAAAAACACTTTAGCAAAGTGTCCTTCTTTGAAATAAGGAAATTTTACAATTGATATTAGAAGAGATATGATGCAGTTGACGAACAGAGGCACATTTTCTTTTTTTAAATGTTTTATTGTTCTTGTTTTAATGAATTTATTATTATTGTTATGAAGTTAATTGCTGTTTATTGATTTATTTATTTTTTATTTTGTTGCATGGATTTTGTGCAAATAGAGCTTATTAAACAGTAATTTTCAAATGTGCGACTCAAATGTCTCATTTCTTAATATCGCATGAAAATATAGAGATTTTTAAAAAAACATATGGGTATGAGCAGCAATAGCTGTGTAAAAGTCTACTGAAAAAATTGTGGCATTGTTGTGTTAAAAAGTGACTACCTATTAAATGAATGAATTGAATTTTGCATGTCGCAATAATGTATAAACAATAGAGGAATTCTCAAAGTTTATTGAAGGTGTGCTTTTCTCCACAAATCCATGTAAGAAGTCATTATCGCACGTGAATGAGAACATAGGAAGACAAAAAAAGAGGGTCCCGTACGGGTGGAACAAAAGATTCGTTACCGAAATTTTGTGTAAGTAATGAAATTTAAATTTCAGATTAGTGAAACTCTAGAAAAATTTTGTCTGACATTTTGTTAAAACTAATACATTTTAACAATGGAATGAGGTATAGCACATCATTTTTTGTTAAATATAATGACATAAAATTAATGACTGAAGAAAGTACATTATAATTTTGTAATTTTCTAAAAAATAATTTATAAAACTTTATTTAAAACTAATTTTATTAATTTGTAGTTTTAAAATAAATATTTCATAAGTTAGTAGTACAATTAATTAGTTCTTATTTATTAATAATAGTTAAAATAATAAAGCTATTTTAAAGCTACTTTTCTGAAAACTATTTTCTAAATAGAAATGTATTCTTTAGCATTAAAGGAAAGAAGCCTTATAGTATGTTCTGTGTCAACATTGAAATTATAGAATATTTGAAATAGATTCTAACATATTACACATTAATCACCTTCCGTTATGAGACAGCCAGCACCATAGATTCCAGTTGGATGGAATTGGATGAATTCCAGATCTTGACAAGGCAGTCCAGCACGCGTCACTAGGGCAGTTCCATCGCCTGTGGACGTGTGAGCGGATGTGCAAGAGAAATATGCTCGGCCATAGCCTCTACAATGAATGCACAGGTTTAGTTTTAAATATGAGTCATCAGAAACATGTTTTGCTTTCTGTAAACCAATTCAAAACCATTTATTTCTTTCATCATAGTTGAGATGGAATGCTAATAAATTTATTATCAAATTAACTAAAAACTTTAATTGCATTAACAATTCTAACTATTTTTGTTAAAAAAAATAGTTAAATAATTTTGTTAAAAGAAACATTACTTGCAGAAAAATCACCCCAGTCTAATCCTGAACAATGAGCAGGATTAGGGGTATAGCACCCAACTCTTTCATTTTGAGATACACCATCAAGCATTCAACTCTGGACCACAAACAAATTGTCGTTTTTACCTTCTGCTGTGCTAATGTTCAATTTTCTTGAGAAGATTAAAGTGCCCCAAAGATTCTGTGGTGTGTGAAATGTAGAAAGATTGAAAGCAAGAAAACATAATTTTTGGGATCAAGAACACATATCAGGTGGCATGGCGCATGGATAGGAAAAAATCCAGTAGATTTTATGAAATATAAATTTCCTGATAATTATTGCATAATATATTAAATATTTGACATACAGGGAATTAGAGGTATCTTTTTAGTCACCAAAATACAGAAACTTCATTAAACTTATAACTATAAAAAAATTGCAATAATTTCTAGTTATAATTGACTTAAATGAATTTGAAATGTTATTTATTATGCTGACTCATAATTTTTAAGATAAAACTTCATTCATCAAAGATAGTGAAAAGATTCTTTAATAAACTTAAAAAGGGAGTTACCAAATAAAAATAAATTAAACATTTTAGAAAAAGAAAAAAAACATCTTTAAGCGGATATCTATTAATGAGGCTTGTTTTTTTTTATATATTTATAATACTTATTTAAATATTCAAGAAGCATTATTCAAGAATATGCATTTACTCTAACCTAAAGAAAACAAATCAATAACTAGAATTGCTTAATGATGCAACATCCATTTGCTTTAATTTTCTGACATTACTTTTTAGAATGGGTTCAAGCCTTTGTTGTCTTTTAATTTTTTTTTTTTTAAGTTTTCTTAATTTCTCACCAATAGGTAGCTTTAATTTTAATAATTAATTCTTTTTGAAAAGATTAATATTCCCAAAAATACTCCAAAAGATATATCCAACAGAGATTTTTTTTTCTTTTTATCATCTGCATATCTCAGATATCATCATTTTTGCAACACCAGTTATTATTAGCAACATGTCATCACCAGGAAGAGAGTTGAATCGGTTTTCCGTGTGTCCTATTAGCTTCTGAATAAATTCTAACACTTCTCAAATGATTTCTCCAATACAAAACAGTAAGCAAAATTGATGCCCCCTTATATTGAATAACACAAAATACTTAGAGTTATAAGAAATGTATAGACTAATTTTTAGTATACTTCTTTCTAATAGTAAAATATTTTATTTTTATTGAAAATATCTGTTCTGTTTAGAGTATTATAAGACATGAAATATATGTTTTAAATTTATATACTTACTTTTTAAATTTTTGTCACAAAGTAAAAATACAGTATAATTTTACTTTAGATAAACTAAATTTAAATTACTAAAAAAATAAATACGCAAGTTTAGCAAATTATGAGAGTTCATTGCATTTACTATGAATGAATAAAATGAAAAGTGGTACAAATTGAATGAAAACTTGATTAAGTTACCCAGTGGCTAAGACAGTATTTTTTGCTTTAAATCTGTGGAGTGTTCCATCTTCCAAGCAGAGGGCGATGACTCCCTTGCAGACCCCATTCTCCATGAGGAGGTCCAGGGCAAAATACTCAACAAAGAAGTTACAATCATATTTTAAAGACTATAAAAGAAAAGATAAATTTTAAGTTGGAAATAAAATTTTATTAAAAATGTTTTGTTCAAAACAATATAAGTACACTCAAAAGTGATTTTTGATTAATGATTATTTCTCAATATCACATTGATTTATCAAATTTAATAAATTTATTTACATTTTAAGAAAAATAAATTTTTTACATGTACATACCTTTTTCAATTATTGCAAAATGGAACAAACTAATAGGATAAATGATACAGAATGAATTAGATTGGCTCTTTTATTTTAGTGCCAACTGATTTTTTCTTACAACCTAGGCTGAGTCAACCATGTCTGGTCTGAGGGTCGAATCCAAGACCTGTGATGTGAGAGCGCCAAGCGCTACCATTCAGCGCACGTTCCAATATTCACACCGGTTACACTGGTTTGCCGCACCGACCGTTCCAATATTTTTGGAACAGATATTCGCACCGACCGTTCCAATATTCCATTATTAGAACTGGTGTCACCAGTTATGCACGAAGTGCACCAGGTTTCTGGTCGGTTTTGTCAGTTCGCATGACTTCATTACCCTTATTTGTTTACAAACTTTACTATACTGCTGCTGAGATCATCATAATTTTGTTGCATTTTTGAATGGATTTTATTATAAATTTGTTATGAAAACTTGTTTTATCATTGAAAATAAGTTTTTTTGAATTAAGTTGAAAGATAATAATTATTATTGGAAATGTATTCTGTAGATGAATCGTCTTGATGTTGTTTATAGCAATGGATATCATTCATAAACGTTTTATTTCTGATATTAGTATGTTTTTGTTTTCAAGACTAAAATTCATCTGAATTTTGATTCGCATGGTGATTAGATTTACTTGATAGATTCACATCGAAAGAATTTAGACTTATGATTTTCAATAAACATATCGCTTTGTAAAATCAAACAACTATCCAAAGCATTATTGTTAAATTTGTAATAGCGATAGAACTTTAAAATAAGTAGAAGATTTATTGCTTCATATGGAAAAGCTCATGTCTACATATTTTTGTAGTCATTACATTTTCACTTAAACATTTTCGTCCAATGTATATTGTTTTCAAAATAAACAAATCCAATCAATATTTGATTGTTAAATATATTTCTTTTGCGTTTTAAATTTTTCTTACATCCTTTCTATATTCCATAACAGACCTGGAACGATGAATATTATCCTAGTTTAATAACAAATTATGCTTTTAGTTTTTATTGTATTATACATGATATGAGTTTAATTAAAGNACACTGGTTTGCCGCACCGACCGTTCCAATATTAAAACCAGTTACACCAGTGCACTGCACCGATCGTTCCAATATTCAAACCAGTGTCACCAGTTACGCACGAAGTGCACCAGGTTTCTGGTCGGTTTGGTCAGTTCGCATGACGTCATTACCCTTATTTGTTTACAAACTTTACTATACTGCTGCTGAGATCATAATTTTGTTGCATTTTTGAAAGGATTTTATTATAAATTTGTTATGAAAACTTGTTTTATCATTGAAAATAAATTTTTTTGAATTAAGTTGAAAGATAATAATTATTATTGGAAATGTATTCTGTAGATGAATCGTCTTGATGTTGTTTATAGCAATGGATATCATTCATAAACGTTTTATTTCTGATATTAGTATGTCTTTGTTTTCAAGACTAAAATTCATCTGAATTTTGATTCGCGTGGTGTTTAGATTTACTTGATAGATTCACATCGAAAGAATTTAGACTTATGATTTTCAATAAACATATCGCTTTGTAAAATCAAACAACTATCCAAAGCATTATTGTTAAATTTGTAATAGTGATAGAACTTTAAAATAAGTAGAAAATTTATTGCTTCATATGGAAAAGCTCATGCTTACATATTTTTGTAGTCATTACATTTTCACTTAAACATTTTCGTCCAATGTATATTGTTTTCAAAATAAACAAATTCAATCAATATTTGATTGTTAAATATATTTCTTTTGCGTTTTAAATTTTTCTTACATCCTTTCTATATTCCATAACAGACCTGGAACGATGAATATTATCCTAGCTTAATAACAAATTATTCTTTTAATTTTTATTGTATTATACATGATATGAGTTTAATTTAAGGGATTTCAAATATAAACCCTATTAAACAAGCCTTTGACTGACCAAGTTGCTAAAACTAGGCCTTCCTTCAATGTATTGAGCTTATAATTTGCATTGTATGTACTTCTATTTCTCTTTATAATATTAAATCATTTCTGATAACCACAACATAGTAGTGATGACATGGGAATCTATCCTGATCCGTACCTCCTTCAGCACACACGCAAATCAATGTCTTAGATTAATAAAAGATGATATTATATAAAAGTTTAGTTTACGTGAAAGGATCTTAAATAGAGGCCAATGACAAAAGTCGTTCATTGGCCTGTTTTATTAGAACAAGGCTTTTAATGCCAAAGGTTTTTAATATTTATATTACTTTCATAATTGTTAACTAAAATAAATTCCGAAAATCACTATATAATAAATATTCTAGTATTATATTATGACATGATAATTTTGAACAATATGAGGATTTTATATCTTATTGGTAAATGCTTAATTTAAGCCTTGATTCTGTTTAAAATTAAAAAAAAAATCAACTTCTATTTACATTTCTTATTAGTTCATTACTTTTTTGCTTCAAGATTTCTATTTCTTAATGATAATTATTTTCAATTCAAGGTATTCATTATGTGATTATTGATCTACATGTAATAAAAATATTTATTTTTTATAACACTAACTTAAAAATTTCTGAAACACTTATTAATAACTGTTGTTTTACATACCTTTTTTTTTTTAATTATACTACTAAATCTAACTTTTGGCAAAAACTTTTTAAACAAAGACTGAAATAAGTGAATTATTAACTAGCCTGTGTCATCTTAAACTTTCGGGTTAATATTTGAACTTATTTTAAAAGTTTGATTTAAAACATTTCTGACAAATACAACTTAATAGTTATGACCGGGAGATTTAACTTTATGTGAAACATCTTTGTACACACCATTATTTCACACTAATTACAAACAATAGTTAAGTTTATCTGGAACGATTTTAAACTTGATGGCAAAGGTTGCTGTCACTATGTGTAATTATATTACTACAAATTTAAATATTTCTGTCCAACATAGAAAATTTTTTATTACAACAATATCTGCAGAATACAATATTAGTGAATTTCTTATTTTTGAATGTAAACAAATAAAAACGCTTTAAACTTTATCATTAGTTCATCTCTTGTTTTTTTGCAACATTTTTGTTTCTTAAATTTTTTTAAAAATTTAAGTTTTATATATATATTTTAAAATAAAATGACATTGTTGTGTTAAATTCCTTTTTTTTTTTTACTTAAGTACAATAATTGTATAGTTTTGATGGAATACTAAAGCTCCCACTTGTAGCAAAATTATAATAATATCTTTCCCTCTTTTTAACACAAACTCATTTCAGGTAAGTATGTTATCTATTTATAAATATTTCTCTTATGTGGCACCATAAACTAGTGTATTTCTCTATATATTGGCAACACTGTTTAGTGTTTCAAAGTAAATTTTAAAAAGCGCAAGTGCTTCACAGTAGAATTCAAGAAAAGTGGCTTGACAACTATTTTCTTTCTAGTGCTAATACTATTAATGCTAAAATAGAATTTCAAATAACTGGTAAAATAAATTTTATTTTGAAAAAAAAAATTCAACAAATAGCTTTTCATGTAGAAATGTTAACTATATAAAAATCTGTAGCACCTACATCGCCAAGCTACCACAGCACCACCACATACCAGGCAGTGGATGCTCAGACTTTGAACCGAATGGACCTTTCCCCCCCCCCTGCTCATAATTAATCAAATTTGTTTGTCCGTGTGCTATTTGTAAATTAATAAAAATATTTGGCACTAAGCTTTACAGTTAGTAATGCATTTATTTAGATCTTGTAATTTTATAGAAATAAACACCATAAATAAAATATGGTTTTATAATATGTAATTAAGTTTGGTAAAGGTTGATAATTTTATCATGATACCTTAGAGCATGGCCTAATTTTAGTTAAGTATTTTTTATTAGTTGTGTGTGGGTAATTTTGAAAACCAGAATTTTCAGAAAATCATTATCTTGTGAATGGGAAAATTGAAGTGAAATATATAAATACTATATATTTTGGTTTTATTATCCAGTATTAGGAGGGATTTTTTTTACCATACAGTAATCTAATTTTTCCAGAGTTTTTTGCTCCGTGTTAACTATTTTGTTAAAATTGTGATCAAAGTACTTTCAACTGGTGCAACAGCTAAAAGGTGAAAAAAATTTGGTTAATATATTTCTTAAAACTAATTATGCTGTTAGGATTGGAGGTGGGTTTGAAGCATTAAAATATTTAAATACTGTTGTGCTCTACATTCGACTTGATTACCGTTAAAGTTTATATATTGTACAAGATAATTTTGAAAGGTGACTTAGCTTCTTGCCAAAGGTGGCTAGTATAAAAAAATATGTTCACTAATAAAAACTACCTAACTTCATTTTTTTTAATAAATGCTTAAACTGCAGCTAAGAAAAAAAATCTCACAACTGGATTTTGATCTTTTTAGTCTTATTTAACACACGGTTATTTTCAAATTCTGTTAGAGGAACTTAGGAAGTTTCACTTTAAAATTTCTTTATGTAAACAAGTTAGCTTTCGTGAAAAATTTCAGTATGAAAACATATTTATTACTCAGTTGAAATCAATTTGCTCATAAACATTGCACCATATACCATCTCTATCAAAATAGAAGCTGAGTTAATTTTTCTAAATTCTAGCAATGAAATTTTAAACTTATTTTGACTGTTTGTCATTGACGTTTAAGCTTACAATGAGAGACATTTTAAAGATGCCACCTCATGTATTTGAAATGCTATCAAATTTACATTTTAAAAGATCTTATTAAATTAAGATAAAGTTGCTCTCTTGAGAAAATTCATTATAAAAGTAAGTTTATTACATATTTAAAGTCAATTAATTACGCTATTTACATGAAGAATGAAGCTTAAAGCAAGCTAAATATTTTTTTATTTAATTTAAAAAATAAAAAATCACTCAGGGCAAGGGGGAAAAGAATAGTGTATAACGATTAATTTTTCAAAAATATGATACCCGCAAATTTCGAAGAAAAACAATGAAAATTGTACTAAGCAGATTTTTATTTTTCTCTTTAATTTTGTTAAATATTTAGATATAAAACTTACTGAGATGATGGATGCATTTTGAAATAAAACATTTAAATAGGAAAAATATGCAAAAAGAAACAAAAACTAATATACATGATAGAAGTTTTACTTTCTATCAACAAATTTTAAAAAATAAATAAGATATAATATTTTGCTTTATTATATAAAACAGTTTTAAAAGTCTATATTCTTTAACAAGTAATGCAAAAATAGAATGATCAAGAAATAAACATAATAGAACAAAAAATAAATTTGTTATCACTAATATATTTTTCTCAAAGATTTCGAAAGAGGAGAGCGTCTGCTTCTGGTTGTTAATGGCAACCAGAACTAGACCTAACCGCACCGATCGTTCCTAAATTACGGTGCAAGCTGAGGACACGTGACTAGTTTGCTTACGTGTAACCAGTGTCACCGGTGCGAATATTGGAACGCAACCTCAGTCACCGGGCGTCACAAATTTTCTATAACTAATAAATTGTTTATAAAGAAAATTTCACAACTTAAAAAGAATCTTAGAATATTGATTTTTATAGAAAAATTAAATTGAAAATATGAAGAACCATATCAAAAATGCATTGTTTAATCAAAAAAAAATTTCACTTTATTTTTTACAATTAATGATTTAAGCTGAAAAAAAAAAAAGAATAATTATTAAGAGAAATTTTTCTCAACAAATTCAAAGGAGTATCATTAAAAATTTTAAGAGCTAAAATACAACATAAAATGAAAAAGGCAAGTATAAATGCATACTTATGATAATAAAATCATTAAAACATTTATAAAATGCACAACTTTATACATACTGATTGCTAATAAAACATGCAAAATTTGGTAACTGTTACTAAGGCAGTGTTAAGATAAGAATTTACAAATGACACTTAGTAATTGTGAATGATAAATAATGGAAGCAATTGTACAAAAGATTTATTTTTTCTCTTGTCAGTATATATGTGAAAATATATTTTAGAGTGCAAAAGCTACTAATGCTAAAAGAATTTAATAAGATATTGTTTTGGTATAATACTCTTTCTCATATTTTTAATTTATAATATATTTGACTAAAAGAACATTTATATAAACATTGAATCAATTTTGTTCATTCTGTTACAATCGAGACAATTATTAAATGCATAATTACATACATTTAAATTTAAACGAACATAAATTATACTTTTGATAAAATTATAATAAAAATTAAATAATTCTTAAGAAAAACTCCCTAGTGCTTAATATTTTTATTCCGTAACTTAATTTTTAAAAAAAAAATTTTTTTTCACAATAAAAACTTGACTTTTCTTCTTGAAAAAAAGGGGTGTTTTTTTTAAATTCTGCACATACTTGATTTATCATCATAAACATACCTGTCCATAGAGTGTGTGTAGCAGTGAGTGACCAGTCCTGTCAGCAACACAGCAACAACGATGAGCCTGGCCTCCTTTCCCAAAGTTATAGGATTGGCCACCAAAAGCTCTTTGGTAAATTTTACCATCTTGTGTCCTACTGAAAGGCATACCATAGTTTTCAAGCTTCAAAAAAAATAAATAAATAAATTAGATGGTGAATAAATAATGTCACTTGCTTTATTGTTATCATTTAAACATTTTATTTCTTTATTTGCAAATAATATAAGAAATGGAATCTAATATATGCAAATATATATGCAGTCAGACCTCGATATAAGGTCACCCTAAGGGACATCGCAAAAGTGACCTTATAAGCGGGGTGACCTTTTAACCAATTCATTAGAAGTTCGTAACTAAGCATGTAAATAGTACACATTATGATTTTTAAAAATGGTATTACAAGCGAAAAATAAATATTTAAGTCAATAAATAAAATATATTAATATTTAAGTTAATAAATTAAATATTTAAGTCAATAAATTTCAACAGAATTAGAAAAGAATTAAAGAAAGTAAGATTTAAAAAAAAAATTTCATTTAAAATAAAGCTGTTTACAAATTTCCTTAAAGTGTACAGACATACATTACATCTTACCTTATTTAATATAATCATTTATACAGGTCTGTCTCGTTTTTGGTTTCATTTTTCGAACAATGTTTTCTAGATTTTGTAACTTCTCAAAATGTTCCTCAGCTCCCTCATGGTTTGTAAAAAAATTTCGTATGACATTTATTGCATTGAAGGCTTCCACTTGGGTTANTTGGTTTCATTTTTTGAACAATGTTTTCTAGATTTTGTAACTTCTCAAAATGTTCCTCAGCTCCCTCATGGTTTGTATAAAATTTCGCATGACATTTATTACATTGAAGGCTTCCACTTGGGTTACAACTACAGTCTCAGGATCACTGTCATTGTCCTCACTGTCCACAATTTGTGAAACTTGTGAAACAATTTCAGAAATTGTAGCTTCAGAAATGGTGGCAATCTCCTCATCAATCAAACCATATTCAGCCCCCCCTTCAATGGCAGGGCCACGATTTTTCAGATCTTCCATCAAAACAGATAGAGGAATATCGTCTTCTTCTTCGGTTTTGTCATCTACCATATTCAGAGAACTCACTAAACCAGCACGACGAAAACAATTTGCTATGCATGTGGTGGACACCATGTTCCAACTTTTGTAGACATAGAAAATAGCATCCAAGACAGTAACGGGAAACTCCTTTTTTTGGTTGATGGCAGTGATTAAGTCCTTCAGGAGGAGCTTACTATAGTTCACTTTTAGGTTCTGAATAACTACTTGATCCAATGGTTGGAGAATGCTGGTTACATTGGGAGGCAAGAAAACAAGCTCAATCGAGGCTAACTGTGGGATGTTGGTATGAGCTGTGCAATTGTCTGCTATGAAAACAAATTTTCGCTTCTTCTTCACAAACTGCCTGTCTAAACGCTGTATTGTTTTCTCCCAAATGGTGACGGTCATCGACGCCTTTTTGTTAGCGTTGTAATCCACAGGTAAAGATTTCACGTTTTTAAACCAATGTGGCTTTTGGAATTTACCAATAACAAGAGGGCTCAATTTTTCAGAGCCATCCATATTGGCTCCTAAAAATACTGTAAGTCTTTCTTTACTTTGTTTGCCACTTACACATTTTTCATTATTTAACGCTAGAGTTTTTTTCAGGTAAAACTCGGAAAAAAAGACCACATTCGTTGACGTTGAATACATCGCAGGGCTTATATCGTTTCAAAATGTAATCTTCGAACACAGATTTCCTCCAGTCATTCAAAACAGTTTCGTCAACACCTCCGGCTTCCCCGCATACTGTCTTGAAAGTTAAATCAGGTCTTACTTTAAATCTCTGAATCCATTCATTGCTCGCCATAAAATTAGGTTCTCCCAATTCCGCTGCTATTTGCAGAGCTTTTTCTTTCAGCACTGAGCACGATATCGGCACATTTTGCGCTCTAGCCATTTTTATCCATTGGAGAATGGCTTCTTTAATTTTCTCATAAGGGGGAAAACGCATTCCTTTTCTTTTCCCATTTCCAATGCGATGAGAAGACAGAATATTGTTTAAGGTGGTGCATGGTATACCATGTTCTTCCGCAAAATGCGCTTTTGATAAATTTGAATTTTCAAAATCCTCAGTGATTTTTTCTTCATCCGATAGAGTCAACGTCTTTCTCTTTGTCGACACGATGAGAGAGGTTCGAATGAAATTCTCTCCTCTGGTGTGGTCAGCAAATGGTCATGTGATGCGATAGGAAAACTTATCCTTTGTTCTCGGGCGAAATCCTCCCCTGGAAGTATGGACAGGGACGAGCAATTACTGGCAGTGAAAGCTGGAGAAAATTCTTTGTGAACTAGGGGGTGGAAAATCTCTCCAGGTCCAGGTGTGTTCATTGGCTGCAACATTTTCCTAGAACTCGAGATGGGTAATTGCCTTGTAAGGAAGTTAAATAGGCTTTTATTAGAAAAGAGCTCCCCTCGCCTCAGATAAAAGTGACCCTATAAGCGATAAAGATTTTTGAAACTTGACCGTATATCCGATAATCTATAACAAAGAATTCCTATTCAGTGAGCAAGGACTTTGGAAAAGTGACCTTATATGCGGGGCGACCTTATATTGAGGTCTGACTTTATATATATATACAAATAAATTGATTGAAATATATTGAAAATATGTGTGTAAGGCTCTTATTTAGAGAGCTCTTCTTGACAATCTCTGAAAGATATCTACAACCTCATGCTGCAGTCAGAGTGCACTAAAGACAATGCAATAAATGATTAATTTTTAGAGCATCTCAAACAAACAAGCTTTAAAGCTAACAAATTTTTATGACAAAATTAAATGCAAACTTAAACAAAAAACATAATTATTTATTTAAAATCTGTTTTTACACATAATTATGTCAGTAGGAATAATTTTAATTGACGCTAAAGTTTATTCTTGGATTCGGTTTTTACGAAGCCAACACAAATGACATTTCTGCACCAAGAAAATGACTAAAACTAAAATCGTTTGCGAAAAATAATGTACAAAAAATGCTTGAAGTCAACGGAGGTGAATCTGAAGGGAGAACAACCTCCTTTAATGACCATTTTACTGTGGAACTAAGAGTGGTCACTCCTGAGGGGTTTCATTGTATAATATATTACGGGGACCAGAAAGTAACGTCGTTTCAGTGCATTAGCTATCAAGATTTTATTTCTAATCAATAATGTACTTATTAACTTTTCTTAGCAACAACCTTTCAATGCCGGATCGGAAATGAATAAAAAAAATTAAATGGTTTTCAGGAAAAACAAATATTTAATGTGCCGAAACGACATTATATATATATTTATCACAGTAAAAGCATGAGGTTTGATAGATCTAGGATTTACCAAAAAGGCTCAGTAAAAGTCCAAAGTATGCTTTAATATGTTTAGTAAAACAATTTGGTATTACTAACGCCTTCAGGTAAAAGCCTAAAACAAAGGATTTTTTTTAAGGGATTTAAAAGTTTATTTTAAGGTTAAGAGTCAATGCCTGGTATTTGTTTGTCCAGTTTACTGTAATGATATCATTTTAATTGTATAGTAACTTAATTTATATTTTAATTTAACTTATTTAATTTAATATTTAGTTTAATTCAACAGTTAATTTAATTGTTTTAAAGTAGAGATTTAAGATTAAATGCATTTTCGGTCCTAACCTGTTTTTGGAACATATGTTTGGGAGGACGATATTTCTGTTTTCAATCAAACTGTATTAAAAAATCCTAATTAAGGAGTTGAGCATAATCTTTGACCACTAGGGTTTAATGTGGGTGGATCATTGAATCTCCCTTTTTTAATTCAGAATTGGTCAAAGATAATATTTTGATTAGATCTTAACTTTTAAGATGATTGTGTTTTAACTTTTCAGGGGGTAGTTATTTATTATAAAGTTGGGGGGGAAAAAGAGAGAGAGAGAGAATTGTTTGAATACAGCATTGATTAGAAATAAAAAGTATTAGAAAATTAAGAAAGAGAATTAAGTAACAATGGAGGTAGAAAAGTTGATTATCTGTTGTTTTAACATGAAAAGAAACAGATGATCAGCAAAAAAATGATAACCTTTTCACAATCTTCTTTATTCTTTTCCCATAGGTGTTATCTTTTTGAAAATTATAATTCCTTGATGATTAAGAAATTAAATTTAATACCTTCACTTCTATATTGATCATTTAAAATAAAAGGTAAATGGTATATTAAAAGATTATGCACAATATTAAACTACACTCAATTATAAACATAATATCAACAAAACATTTTCCTTTATCATTTTCTCATTTCTAAAGTTTAGAAAGTTGGAAGAATCTCTGATTTATAAATATTTAAAAAGAATGAAACTAGTACCTCAATAACTGCTTGAGGAGCTTCCCTTGTCATATAATGAATGGCATCTTGGTCACCCAGCCAATCAGATCCCTTCACGGTGTCATACCTGTTGGATCAAAAATACAAATGAATGAAGACTACATTTAATACCTAAGGAAGTATTTGAAAGGTAACAGAAATCTTACATGTGCCATTTCCAGTCATCTGGCTCCATGTTTCCTAACGCAGCATTAATACCACCCTGTAAGAAAAAATTTATACTCAGTTGAATTAAAAGTATAAACTAATCTCAGCCTATGAAGGATCAAGAACAATCACGCCCAAAAGTATAATACTAGGTAAATGCACCTTTAGCACCTCAGATGATTGTTTAGATATAATCAACCTTTTACAACTGATAGGTTGAGAACAGTTTTTCTTTTCATAATTAGAGCTTGAACTTTGAAGATCTAAAAAAATCTATAAAAAGGCCCTTACGCAGTGGTCGAAAGTAGTGCACTACAATTAGTGAAACTACTACAGTTTTCCTAGTTTATAGTGTAGTGTGCTACATTTATTTATTAAAAAAAAGTACTGTAGGGAGTAGTGTGATACAAAAAAACAGTAGTTTGAAACGATTCCTGGCAACTACTTTTAATGTTCGTTTCGAAAAGAAATAAGGTTCTAAAGCAACAAATTTTTTGCATCTGATGGGTACAAATCTATGCAGGTCCGTTAATGGATGCAATGAAAATGACCCTGTAGTTGAGCGTTAACAAAAATTACGTATTTAAACTAACGCATAATTAATACTTAAACTAGCCATCACAAAAAATAGAAAATGAATCACTTCAGTCAAATTTTCACATGCGAATACACACTCGTGAAACATTGATGTTATTTAAAAGTAAAGGAACGTATTTTCCATGTACTAAATTTCCTAGAGTAGGGGTGCACAACCTTGTTGAGTGAAGGGCCACTTGCACAGCAGGTTGGCTAACGAAAGGCCGCACATGTATTTAGACATGTTAATGACAAATGTAATGTTTAATTAAACATTAGCGTTCTAATTTTTTTATCAATAAGCTTAGTAATATATTTGCAAAAAATTAAAGGTGTTCAATTATTAGAGTTCATTCAAAAAAAAAAAAATCTTTTTTTTTTTTGCAAATTATACTTTTTTTTTACAAAAAAAATGGCTATTTTTATCATATGAACAATAGATTTATCAAAATAAATAAACATTGAAGAAAATAGATGTTTTTTTTTATCATATTTTACAATACGAAAATTTTAGAATTAAATTCTAATAAATAAAAAAAAACTGCAATGCCCACAGAATGAAAGTAGGAAAAAATTTAGTCATAAGTAATATAAATTCAAATTAAATAGTTTAATTTAAGAAAATTTATAGGCTTTAAACAGAAGCCTAAAGTAAAAACAAAACTGTGACAGTTCAAAATGAAATTCAATGCTTACATGCAAAAATACAATTCAATTTTGTAATGTACTTTATTATTTCATTTTATTAATTATTAGAATTTTTCATATCGTAAATATTTTCCTTTTTTATTATCACAAAAGATCACTTAAGCAACAAAAAACTTAAATCTACACTACAAACAGTGAGCAGTTCAAAATTTCCGCCACTTTATGAATTTCTCAAGTTGCAACAACATTGCATTTAAATTAGGGATGTAACGAGTATTTGGCCCTTCTGTGAAAAATTCAGTTGGTTGAATGAACAGCCAAATATTCAGAAGAATATTTTTCAGAAATGTATTTTTCTAAGTTTCTTTTTTTTTAAAAAATTTGTATAGATATGATAAAGAATAATATAAAATCCTATTTTAACTTTACCATGGTATTGTTCATTATGAGAAATAGTTTTTACGCAAATTTCTTTAATTTTAAAATCCATGTTTCTGCACATGGCTGGCAAATTTATATTCTAGAGAACACAAATGGAAAAACGAAATTTGAAGTATTGAAACTAGATTACTTTACACTGAACCACAAGTTTTTGCCCTTCTGCTTTTTTAAAAAAAAAAAAAATTATAATCAAACAAGTCAATTTCGTCATTTTTTTGATACTTTGAGAATTGTGAAGGATTTTTCTCTCCATATTTTGCTGTTTTTATTATAAAGCAGCATTTTAACAGAACGTCTCATACTATTAATTTATCACTCTTTCCCTGTACTGTAATAAACTGTGATTTTCAGTATTAAAGTTTTGTTTCAGGAACAAAGAAAAATTTGTTTTTTCTGTTTTTCCTTTTATAGGCATTTTTATTATGACTTAACATTTTTTTAAAAAATAAAGTAACTAATAAAATTTATTTTATACCTCGAAAATTTTTTTCTTTGAAAATTATGGCAATGTTAAAAATTTAAATTGAGATTTTCAGCATAAGATTTTCCTTTAAAAAACTATGAACTCTAATTCTAAGTCTAATTCTAAAATAATAAATAATAAATAAATAATAAATTCTCTAATTCTAAGAACTCGTTTTCTCTAATTTTTTATTTTCTTTAAATAAAAAAAAACTTTTTTTTATAGAGGTTTTTATTATAACACTGTAAATTTTAATAGCATTTCTGTTGACTTAATTCTTTTTTCTTGGCTTTTTCTGGTAATTGGAAAACTGAGATGTTCAGCTTTAAAATTTTCTTCAAGAAATTAAGATCGATTTTCATGTTCTCTGTTTCGCTTTTCGACATTTTCAAAAACATTCTCAATTGGCCTTATTTTTTAGTGTTAATCAATAGGAAATATTATTCTGAGCATTTAAATTTTAGTTTCAGTGTTGCTATGCTGCTAAAAGATTTTGCTATTTGACCCCAAGTGTACGCCTTCTGGCCGATTTTTTTTCCTTCTCTTTTTGAAGAATATTTGGTTTTTAACCAAATCACAATTCATTACCACATTCGACCAAATAATATTCGTTCAGGAAAAAAACAAAGGAAAAATAACTAGGATTTACGATGAAACTGTACCGAAGCCCCACATCAAAAAGTGATGATTTAAATGCGAGATTAACATTCACGTAAATACCCAGTAAATAACGTAATCACCTAAATACCACATTCACGTGTCGTAATAACATCATAGTTAAATAACGGGATCGTCAAAATCATGTGGAAAGGCATAGAAATAATTGGGGAAAAAATTACTTATATTTATGCTGAACTGAGCATGAATAAAGCGCGTCAAATGCACCATTTAAAATTTGCATGCTGTAATAAAATTATTGGAATTTTTTATAATACGTGGGAATGCATAGCAATAACTGCCGAAAAAAATTGCTGAAAAAAAGAAAGAATTGCAAAAATAAAAAGATAAAATATCACTTAGATTTAAGATTAAATCATCACAAATAAAGTGCATCAAAAAGTGATTATTCAAATGAGCGATCTAAAACTTGCGTCGTAATAAAAATTCGGGATTTTTGAAATCACGTAGAAAAGCGGAAATAACTGTTTTAAAAAAAAATCATTTATATATTTACGATAAAATCGGCGAAAGAAAGCACGTTGAATGTACATTTACTAAAGAATCTGTTAAAATTGATTGTGTCAAAACGTTATGACTTAAAAGTGCGATTAAAAATTGCCATTTTCTAAATTTTTTTATTGCGTTTAGAAGCTCTCGCGGGCCGCACTTCTGTAGTCGAAAGGCCGCAGGTTGTGCACCCCTATCCTAGAGGAAAGAGCAAGCAATTAAAAAAATTGCAAGTATTTGATAATTTTGCATTTCTTAAAATAAATATTTGCTGTCGAAAAGGAAAAAAAAGGTTAAAGAATGAATTTGGAAAAAATTCTTTGGAATAACTAACTGGCTCATGCTCACCTAAATGAATATTTCTCAATCATTGCCTTTTATCTAATGTGAGTCAATTTCGTATTCAAAGCAATTTTAATCATGGATGTAAATTAAGTTCCACTACAAAGTTCGTCTCCTTAAAGTAAGGAAGTAGTTGCTAATAGTTAAAAATAATGTAGTTTTTCTGACCAGTGCCCTTAACATGAAAAATATTGCTCGTAAAATAAAAACATGACGAAAAAAATCGAAAAAGAAATCTCATAATTACACAAAATTTTCAATCTGAAAAATTTATGGGCTTGGATAGACTGGTCGGTAGGGCGCTGGGTCCATGTTCAAGAGTTTGATCCCCCGACCAAAGCAAATCCCCGTGTAGTAAATTGTGACTGATGCATGTTAAATTTGCTGAGTCGCAAAGTCCTCTATGTTCCCAGAACAAATCAGTACCTCTGTGGGTACTGATCCAGGAGTTTCCTTGTCTTCTGGATTGGTTCAAAATTAGAAGGCTACGGAGTTTAACATTAGTAGTCGTAAACCCAAAAATTGGGTCAGCTGTTCAACGACAGATATAAAATAAAATCTGAAACATTTTTTTCCTAAAATAATCTGGTAAGATAGAATTGTATTAAAACATGCCTATTAAGACAAACTGAGGTGTAATTTTCATAGAATTTGATGAATGCAAACACTATTTAGAAGAAAGAAAAACTGTTTATATATATATATATATATATATATATATACATAAAAGTTTGATTTCATGACACCACAAGAAATCAGAATCGTATAATATTATTTTACTGTTGTCTAACATATTACATAAGAAAATATGCTTGACTGCACTAAGTCACTTTTGTGCTGAAGCTTTGGTTTCACATAATTCAGAAATTAAAATTACTCCATCTCTAGAAAAAACTTTAATGAATTGAATAATAGATTATCTCAGATAAAATGTTTAAATGTTGTTAGAATATATTTTAAAAATTTCAAAAAATGCTTTAATTTTTTTAAAAAAAAAATGCCAAAACATCACAAAAATGCCCTAAGGGAAAAATTAATAAATATAAAATAAAATAATAATATCAAAACTCACCATATATTTACAATAATAATAATACTAATAATAATGACCTAAAACAGCCAATGTTCCAAAAGCATAAGTTCAAAATGCTTATATCCAAAAATACAAATAGCATAAATATATCAGGTGACTGTTTGAAAAAACGGCAGAATAAAAAATTTAATTAAAACATATAAGTTAATCATAAGTAACATACATACAACTTCTTATAATGTTGCTTAGAAACGAACTTTTTAAAAAATAAATAAAAATAAATCAACAGCTCAAGCTCAAAATATATGTCAGTTTTATCAGAATATAATTATTAAAAAATAATTGTAAAAACATTCTCAAAAAAAAAAAAACTTGTTTATTAAAATTACAAGTTAAACAAAGTTTTCCTTTAGTTGATATTATTTTATTTTGAATGGACAATTTTTTTTAAGAATTTGTAATCATGCATTTTTTTTTTTTTTTACTTAATACAATTTGCATTTGACACTTAAAATCAAATCACTTCAAAATTGTTTCTCTTAAAAATAATTTTCAACCTTACAATATAAGTTTTCCCACTTCTCTTTTAATGACTGGGAAAAATTTCTGGGAAAACAGTTGAACGAGGATCGAGATATCGCAACACCTTCGGTCCTTTCACTGGCTCATTAAATCGAATGTTGTGGTAGTTGGAAATTGCGTCAAATCTGCCTAATCTAGGCTCCTTTTAAATCTCTAGTTAAGTCACAGCGAGACATTATAAAAGTTCAATGGGAGTGCCAACATAAGCTATCTTGTAAGGCAATGTTTTTCTTACAGGAAAAGCCATCTTACTTACTTGTACATTAATTTAAGCAAGATGTTCAATAGCTTGTAAATGATATGAAGATCCCAAATCTGTATGTTTAATAGAAAGTCAAGATTTAACAGAAATCTTTGCCTTGTTTTCCTGAAGCTACTCTCGTGTATGTTGAAGTTTCCGCAGCAGCAAAGTCTGTGCTACAGCAGATGTTTTACATAAGTGTAGTATTTAGTATGTTCTATTTTCCATTTTAAAATCATTTGTTCTTTAATTAACACTCTAATAGTCATCAAAATGATTTATTTCAGAACTTTTTACTTGGTTAAACCTCTGAGTATCTCACTCTGCAAACATAATTAATGGATAGTGAGAAAAAACATGACCAACAATTAGACCTTCACCCGCTCACTAACCCATGCGAGTGATGCTTAACTTTGGTGATCTACTGGGAACCATGTCTTATGATCAGTGCATTGTAGAACTGATCGCCTTGTGAAAAATATTCTAGTATTTTTAGCTATGGGTAAATATTTACAATATATTTGCAGGCACAATACAATAACCTCATATTATAATATACTATTCTGCTCAGACCACAAGCATTGTTGCATCAATAAAGTATATACATGAAATATAAATAAAATAAAAATTTTTACTCTGATTTTTTTAAAAATATTTAACTTAAACATTCAAATAAAAAAAAAATTTCATTCAAAAGTAGAAAATTAAAGAATCTGTTAGTATTTAAAACAAAAATAAAGAAAAAATAAACGTAACAATTTATTTCCTAGCAAATAGAGTATCTCAACTTTTGTTTATTTCATTTCATTATAATTACAAGTAAAAAGTAATTAAGTGCTATTACCTGTGCAGCTACTGTGTGGGAACGTGTTGGAAAGAGTTTTGTTATGCAGGCAGTTTTAAATCCCTCTTCAACGAGTCCAAAAGCTGCTCTGAGCCCTGCACCACCTGCACCAACAACCACAGCATCATAAGTGTGATCCACCACAGGATAGTCAGTAGAAATCTTAAAACACATACAAAAATAATGTTAAAAGAGCAATACAGGTGGTGATTTCTACAGCAGAGAGCTGCTTTTTTTTTTTTTTTCTTCCTTTAGAGAAACTTCCAGGTCATGGTATCCAATCTACTCTCTCATCATTTAAATAAGGTTTATTTTTTCTTGCTCACTGTTTGAACTGGCATTTATTCAAGAGGGATTGTCCTTTTTTGTACATCAAAATCTTCAAGTATACCATGGTTTATGCATCATACCATAAAGAATATTAATTCAATTTTAAAAAATTAATATTTTCGTGAATTCAAAAGAGCTTAGGTTATGAAACAAATATTACCTTACAAGCTTTCTTTCTAAATAATAATCTGCACAAAATTATCAATTAAAAAGCAGTTGTCCGATAAAACACATGAATAAAACATAAGAATTACCTAGTTATGACATGTAAGCAATAACAATTTAGAAATAAAAATATAGATAAAACAGAGTTGCCAAATTAGCAATTTTTTTTTTAAAACTTAGATAACCATGGTTTTTCTTTAAAATCAAAACCTAAATAATGCAACAAGAACAAATGATAAAAAGATATCTCATGAATTTAAGCTCTTACTTAAAGACAAGCAAACTAACTTAGTTTTAACATTCTAACAGGAAATGTTCTTAAAAATTCCCCAGCATTTATTTTTGCTTAATTCTTTATTCAAATCACCATCTAGGCTGATTTCAAGCCATTTTAACATTTTCATATTGGAAAAAGGCCTAAAACTCTTTTTAAAAAAATCAAATAGACATACCATCATACAAATTGTGCCCTAGAACACAGATTCGTTGATTAAAAGAAGTTACCAGGCTCTAAATAAAGTTTATATATATGAAAAAAATAACCAATTAAAAACTAATATAGTATAGTTATCATAGTAAAAATTATTAAGCTTAAATAACTAAGAAGTATTAAATGTATTTTAACTATATTAAGAACCTTTTATCCAATTTTAAAAAAGAAAAACCAGAAAAAATGTGCTTGGTTTTTACACTTTTTTTAACTAGAAATATTGAGGCAAAATGTGGAAATTCTAGAAGTTCAGAGTAGAAAAGTGGGAGGGATTTTTTTCTCCTCGAGTCAAGAGAAACCTATTGAATATCATTATTTAAGAATGTGTGCAGAAGGGACGAATTCTTTATTTTTTTCTGCGTATTGGAAAGAATCAGTGTCTTTTAATAACCAGTCTTTAATAATAGTTCATGTGATTATCAGGAATAAGATGATGATTCTATTACATGAACTCTCTTAAACCTAAATCGGTCATTTAAACTTTGCAGCAGGAATAATATTTAAAAAATGTCACACTCCTGATATTCAAAAATGCCACTCTATTGGCATTTTCTGAGCCAGAAGATGAATTTAACAGCTAATACTGTTAAAGTGAGTTCAACAGGAGAAAAAAAAGAAAGTAAGTTTAGAAAAAAAGTAAGTATGATTTTTTTTCTCTTCGGATTTTGAATATCAGGAGCTTAAAATTGGACGTGCTTTACATGTTCAGTTCTTAAGAATTCGTGATTTGAAAATAGGAAGTTTTTTTGAAAAATCACAAAGCAATTTCAAGATAATTCTTTTCAAAAGTTATAATCATTTGTGTGTGTGTGTTTCAGCTATCATTATTAAGCAAATTAAAATTAGATAAGCTAAAAGGTAAACATCCCTACAGCCATATTGTTAATTTAATCTTGGATAATATTACATTTAAAACACAGAACAAAGGCTGATTTAAAAATTTGTCTTCTTTCATTCTAACAAATTTTAACAATCAAAATAAATAAATCTACTTCCTTTCGTCCAAAAAAAAAATCAGCTTTTTTTAATCAAAGTATTTTCTTATTTTCTCTTACTGTATTAGGAATAGCTAAATATTTATATCCCTTTAGCAAGTGCACTTAAAGAGTTGTTTAGAAGATAAAAGCAGTAAAAGAAAAACTAACTTCAGTAAGAAAAAATAAACTAAGAAGCTGAATATTAATAGTTAATAATGAAACACTTGTGAGCAGGCTTTGTTTTTTATCTTTTATTTTTTTTTTAAAAGAAAATTGGTTAAATTTTATTCATTGTTCTGTAATATTTTGTTTATAATTTTATTAAATAGAATTGATTTCCTTTTTTAATTTGAAGCTTGTTTTTAAATGTAATTTTTATCTTAATATCTGCACTGCTACTTTCTCATATCATATCCTCTGTTTACTTCTTTTCTTTTTAACACATTTTTTCTTTTTTATTATTGACATCAATTTGACAATGCTAATCATATTTTAGTTAATTGTCTTTACTTGCCAGTTAATATTGCTTAGTTAATTGCCATACTTGGCAAATAATAACAAAACATAATGGTATACTAATTTACATTAATATTTGTATATTAATTATTATTCAACAGAATAAGTACACTTCATTCCTTTTTTAACGTCAGAGACCCATTGCTTGGAAAAAATCAACTTTGAGGACTCGCAAAATTTACATTGATTTTAAATATATGTCCTTCCTTTGTGATAACTTTCCTTAGGTTATTCCATAAAAGAGGCATATTTCCATATTAATATTTGCGTAACTTGCAAAAAAAAAAAAAAAACCTGCTTTAAAACGCTAACAAAACCTTGTGATTATTCTGAAGTAAATACTGTTACAGAAATCTTTCCTGTGTAAGGGAAATCACATTATCCACAATATGATGACTCCTAACAAATGGGGCAAAAGCTTCCAGAAATTTTGAACTTTAAGAGCCTTCAAATATTATTTAAGTTTGCTTCAATTTACTAATAAGTTTACAAAAATTTTAAATTTATGAGAGAATACTAAACAGTGCAAAAATTTAAGAGGATGTGTCAAATGATCCAACAGATCATTAAAAAATTTTTTTATTTTTTAAATTAAGAGATGCATGAGGCTTCTCTCCTTCATTTTTTTGCCAAGAAACAGAGATGCTTATAGTTTGAAAATTATGCAGGTGAAAGAAAAAGGACACTAGGTTTTAAAACTTTAAAAAGCACAATATTGCTCAAGTACAGGAATTCAAAACTCACCGCACTATTAGAAACACCACCAGCTGTCTGTCTTCCTTTCACAGAAAAGTGAAAACGTCGAAGCTGAAATACATTTTTTAAAAAAATAAATAATAATAATGAAGCAAAACAACAAGGAAAAATTATTTATCTAAAAAATAATTTTTTTTTAACTAATGTAATTAATGAGTAAAATTATTTATGTAAATGAAATGTTAGAACAGCAATGAAACTGACTAATTGATATTTTGTTGAAAATACCGATGAATTTATAGCAAAATATTTATTTTACAACCCTGGTTCAATTCATACTTCTTATGCAAAATTGTGAATTGGTAGGTGCATACATTAAGGTTGTAACATTAAAAATTACGTAATTCATGTATGCTAGAGAATTTAACGTAAGCATCTAAGGTCAAAATTAAAGGACTTCTTACATTTGAACTTAGTAATTTCTTGTGACGAAAAGCACTCAGCATTCTAGAACTGAGAACCATTGCGTGTTTATTTATAAGTAGAAGAAAAATGAAACTATTCGAAAGATTTAAAAATGTTATAATATCAGGAATTCAATGGAATAAACCCTGATCATAGCATAGTTCATGGAGTAGTTATATAACCCGGGAATGGATATTACAAAGAGCGAAGAGATAATTGTAACACTAAATCTACGCTTATAGCTTTCTTTTGTCTATGAAACCAGTTTGAAAAAAATGTTCATTGTTTTTTTTTCAGTGAAAATAGAATGCTTAATTACATTATTATTATTACGTATTAAATTCAATTCACACTTTATAATCTTTGTTATTAATTAAAAGTGATAATTTTCCACACGAAGTAAATTTCGGTTGGGAATTTTGTAACTGCATTAAAAAACAGTATATTGCCACCGGCAACATGTGATCAAGATAAGTGAATTCCAGTTCTGTTTTCAAATGTAAATAAATAATCTAGTTAATTAGGTTAATTGAACAGTGACTGTAAAGGAAGTTGGATGAAAGAATTATTGCAGTTTGTTGGTTTTCCTCCAGCGTCTTATCTATTTCCCTTTCAGAGAAAAATAAATATAAATTCGGTGATTATAGGGAAATTATTCTTTAATTATGTATCAATCAGCTTTGCTCATTTTGACTGGTTCAATACGCTTAGTTATAGAATCTATTGGACAATATTTAAACACAGCTAATAAAAAAGTGACAAAACGCTTGTATGTGAAGTTAGAGCCAGAATTCTCAAAACCTGCATCAAAATCTGACTTAAATACCCTTTCTTGTTTATCATCTGCTGTGCCATTGGTGTATAACAAGGCGTCTTCAGTTTGTAAACACCTAGACGTTCGAGTTCTCGTAGCCTCCTTGCAAACCCCCAAAAGAGACAAATATACTCATATAAATTTTGATGTTATTTTTACTAACAGTATAGAGGAAGACAAATTAATAAGTAACTATGTAAATGATGTGTTTAGTAATGTCTCTTGCAGCGTTATCAAATTAGACAATGTAACCTTGTCTACTACTGAAAATGGTTGCAATATATTTCAAATATCTGATTATAATGCCTACAAGACCGTTTGTTTGGGCGGCACATTCGATAGGCTTCACAATGGGCATAAAGTTCTTTTATCCGAAGCTGTCTTAAGAGCTCGTGAGAAATTGATTGTTGGAGTCTCAGATTTCAAAATGATAAAAAGTAAGACAAAAAGTTTATACTTTCAGCAATATTTTGTATACTATAAATCTAAGTTTGAAGCAAAATAATTTACTATTTTTTAAGACATGAATCTTAGATTCCTTCTGAACAACAGAGATTAAAAATAATCAGGTTATATATAATGATTTCTGCTATAGAATTCAAACGAATAGTTGTGGAAATACAAATCTGGGCTTAGTTTGCAGAAAATTCTTTCAGCTGAGAGTTTCATAATTGAAACGCTTTTTTCGAATTATTAAATTAAAGGAACAAAGAAGTTCTTTCTAACTCAATCCAAAAACAAAAGAAAATTTAAGGAAAGAAAATTTGTCTTCAATTTGAAATTATTGTAAAATTGGTTAAAATAAGAAATCATAAATAATATTTTTGAACAAGATAGGTATAAAATGTCAATTGAAAAAAAACAAATTTATGCAAAGAAAGAAAGATAATTTATTTCAAGTAATTCAATCATTCTTAAAAATCATAAAGCCATAAACTAGGATAAAAATCGCAAATTTAGTCAACGGAGTAAATTCAAAATTTATTATCCTTTGAAGTAAAAAAAATTACAAAATCAAGGAGTTGGGTTGTATAAGAGCAGACATAGATAAAATGGAAAACTTTCTGGGAAAACAAATTCTCAATCAAAAAACTTAGGTACTGCAAGCGATTGATTAACTCTAGTAACTATTTTCAACCTTTTCATTGTCATCTCATTTATGCGAAATTTGATTGAAAGCCACAAATTTTTTTTAAAAATGATTTCATTTTTATGAAACTATATGGATTTATTACCAGTTGAGTTTAGTAAAAAAGCTGAAAATTGAAATCTAAAAATGTCAAGTGTATAAACTCTTTTTAAATACTTGTAAAGATACCTGGAATTTGAGCACGAAAAAGATATCAGCATATTAATAAAAATATCCCATCAATGTTTTATTTATTTCTTTAAATTGCGTGAATATGAATCTCAATGTATGATTAATAAATATTTTTTATGTATGAATAAGTTAAGTCATTATTGAAAATTAATCAAAATTTAGGTTTATTATTGGTATGTGGTCAAGGGAAAATCTATAATAGTTATTCATTAGAAATATTTAAGAAAAAACCGACTAACAGCAATAAAAAAACTGAATTTGAAAGGAAGAAAAAGAGAAATGAAGAAAAAAAAAACTCTTAATTCATGAAACAAAGCTTTAATGCCAATAATAAAAGGATTCTGGTGGGGGGGGGAGTACCCATATAATGTAAAAAGTAATGTGGTCTTTCAAAAACCCTTTTAAAAATGATGCTTTGTTATAAAAATGCCTATAAAAAGTGTCATACCAGGTGATGCCATTATTATGACGTCGTGTGGTGGAAGGATAGAGAGTGTGTGGGGGAAAAAAAGAGGAGAGGGGGTTGCGCTCTTGGAGGGAGAGGAAGTCATTTTTTGGTTTATATGTGTCCCTTGTGAATTTTGTTAATTTAGCTTTATAAATAAATTCCTGTTAATTGTTATAAAAACTCACCAGTGTGGTTTATTAAGAGGGGAAAGATTAATCTGTAAGAGTTGAGAATATCACACGCTCAACTTTCGATAACCAGAGGCCAAAGGTAAGAAGATTTATGTTTTCTCTTTGACGGAAGTAAAACTGTAAAGGGTGAAGTTGATTAAAGTTGAAACTTAATTAGTTGATTTGAAATAAGAAATATGTTTAGTATAAAAGGTTTAAAGAAAGAAGATTTAGCTGTTGTTGCAAAGGAGTTAGGGCAAAAGGTTGAACCAGGTCAAAGAATTGTAGATTTAAAACTATTGATAGAAAAGAGCTCACAATATACGGCTGACAAAGATTTTGTTTCGGAACTGTTAAATTCAACAGTCATGGAAAGATTGGAAAGGGAACAGCGCCTAAAGGCTGAACAAGAAAAAGAGCGACTAAAAGTAGAGCAAGAAGCAGCGTTACAACTTGAGCAAACTGCTTTAGAACGCGAAAAAAACAAAATTAGAACTTGAGAGGGCTCAATGAGAAAGAGCTAAAATTCAAGCTGAGGGTAGAGGGTTCGATACTGGTGTGGATGGACTAAACGCGAATTCTAAATCATTAGAATCTCTCATAAAAAGCGTAAGAACATTAACTCTTCCTGTACCGAGTAGACTGGAAATGTGGAATTCATTTTTTACCTCTTTAGAAAAGGCGTTTAAAGTTAAGAATGTCGATGAAGAATTTAAAGTTGAAATTTTATTTAATTTGCTAGGCGAGCGAGAGGCGAATTTATTAACATATGTAAACGTTGAGGAGATGAAAGAAAATTAAAGGGTTAAGAATATAATTCTTAATGAGTTTCAGCCGACAACAGATGTAGGTTTGGAAATTTTTTTGTCCGCTAAAAGGTTAAGAAACGAGAATCATGTGCAATTCGCGAGTAGAATTAGAGCAAATTGGGATTTCTACTGCCAACTTGGAAAAGTTAATGATTTTGAAATGCTTAATGAATTAATAGTCAGTGACCGAATATTGAATGCATTAGATCCAGAAGTGCGGAGTTAATTAAAATTAAGCAGTTAGATACGTGGTTCCGACCGAAACAAATAGCGGAGCTCTCTGACAATTGGTTCACTTCGAGAGATAGCACTTTTTCAGAGTTATACGATAAACCGACAAACAAATTTCAAAATCAGATAGAAACTGGATTCCCAAATAATTCAGGTGGAAAATATGTCCCGCCTCATATGAGAAATACTTTTAATGATAAAAATACGAGTTCGGGAAAAGAATTTAAATTATGTAAACAAATCGTTCATTTACGTTATTGTCCTAATAGGGGAAAAACTAAAATGTGAACAATAAGTTAACCCAAAACGGAAGATAAATTAATCGCTGGAGTTAAAACTGAGTATATTGACCCGAATTCAATTAAATCTCAACCCTTACAATATGAATACATTTATTTGGGAGGAAACATTTTTTTCTTTAACCAAACCCTTTTCCATGCGTGAATTACTCCTGGCAATGGCTCTTCTTGATATGACCAAATCTCCTGGCCCAGATGGTCTTTATGGCTGTATGCTTGAAAACCTTGGCAGCTCAGGGAAGCAATGGCTACTAAACATCATTAATCAATCCTGGATACAAGGGCGACTTCCACAGGAATGGAAGAGAGCCACTATTATTCCAATCAAAAAACCGTTTGATTCCGTTACATTTAAAAAATAATGATTGCTCGAAAGTTCATTTAATATCAGCATTTGGGGAAAATATAGTGGCGGGTTTACAAATGTTTTCGATTTCATTAAAATCTGAATATCCTAATAATTTAAGCAGTAGTGCAGATGTATTATTTTCAGTAACAGACAAATTAGTCGTTCCTTGCATTTTGACGCCAGTAGTATAAGAGATGTTTAAGCCAGCGAATATTGATGAGGGGGGAAACCAAAACAATCTTCTAACTTAGTCGCCGTTACGTCATGAAAGGAAAGAAATATCAGAGGGTGTGTCTGGGAACACAGAGATGTTTATGTTAAAGGGTTCGGAAAGTGAAAACAATGAATTAATGATCTGTTGCGTTGAATCAGAAAATCAAAATAAAGAGGAAAATATGGGTCAACTTTCAGAGACGGAGATTTTTAAAAAACAGCAAAGGGATTGTGATATTCTCAACTCTTACAGAGTAATCTTTCCACTCTTTATAAACCACACTGGTGAATTTTTATAACAATTAACAGGAATTTATTCATAAAGCAAAATTCACAAGGGACACATATAAACCAAAAAATGACTTCCGCTTTCTCCAAGAGCGCAAACCCCTCTCCTCTTTTTTTTTTCACGCACTCTCTCTCCTTCCACCACACGACGTCATAATAATGGCGTCACCTGGTATGACAAAAAGCAAAGATTGCATACAAAAATATAATAATTTATTCTAATACTCAAAAGAAAATTTTAAGGCTGAAAATCTCAATTTCCCAATTACTGTATTTTCAAGAAAATGTGAGGAAAAAAGAATAAAGTCATAGAACCATAATAATAAAAACAAACCTATTCAAATTATGGGATTAAAAAAGGATCAATAATTGTGCATTTTTTATAATTATAGAGAAAGTTCTTTGGGAACTGATTGAACCAATTGAGAAACGTATGGAAGAAGTTTCAAAGTTTCTTTTTGAGATAGATCCGTCCCTAGTTTACGATGTAGTGCCCATATCCGATCCTTTCGGTCCGACCATTACAGATCCTAACATCGACTGCATAGTGGTTACTACTGAAACGAAAGCCGGAGGTGAAAAAGTTAATATTGAACGGACAAAAAAAGTAAACATTTATATTTATTGAAGTAAAAAATAATTTGTACTAAAACTAGTTAAAAGCAAATGTTCGTTCTGTTATATGTGTTATAGTTAAAGTGATGAATCTGGATATTATTAAAAGTAACTGGTGGTTATTAATATCAACTGATTCTTTATATTAACCGTAACATCCTATATGGTAAATAAAGTGAATACAGTGTCTGATCTAAAACTTAATATCTGTGTACTTACAGTTAATAAATGACATGTGCTGAAAGTTCTATTGTGCCCTCTATTCAAGGAGCGGTAAAATTAATGCTTTGTAGTATTCTATTAAATGTATTATTTTGGATGTTATGTAATATCTCAAAATACAGCACAATAACGGTTTCCTTATTTTCTTGAATATCAAAATACTGTCTGTGTCTAGATTTTCATGTAATTTTAACTTGTCTTATTTTACATGGAGTTTTCTTATAATTAATACTAAGAGCAAGTTCAATGTAGGAATTTTAAGAATAATAGTTTTTTCTCCAAATTTATCAAAAGGGAAATAATAATATTTTTGTTGAATAATCACTAGGTGTGTAAAGATGTTTTACCATACCTAATTTAATAAAATTTTAGGGAAGTTATTATCAAAATCTCTATTTGATGATTCATTTATCTGAAAATTTTATTTTAGTTTGATATTTTTATTTTATTTTTTTATTTCTTTTGTATAGTAATGCTGACTGTTATAAAAATATTCAACAAAATGAATAAGGCTAGACATGAAAATAATGTCACAGAAGTAGACATGCTGTAATTTTGAATGATGAATGTTCTTCAGTGACAAAACGCAGAATGAAAAAAGGAACATGCAGGCTCAGTAGCAAATTTAGAAATGAATTGCAACAAAAAGTGGGGATTGACCAAAACAGTGTTAGTAATATGATAAAACAAGATAATCAATGAAGACAGAAGATGGGGGGTAGATTAAGAATCCTAGAAGTAACATTGCAACGAGATCAAATAGATTTCCAAACATTTAGAAAAACTTATCTTGTGAAAAAAATGGGTTATTGGAGAGTCCAGCTATGTAATATATATTTCTTGTTCTTTAAATTAAAAAGTACATTTTGTTTGTTTAATGTATACAAGACTCACACAAGATATCACACTTTAGAGAGATTGGATGAATATATCAGTCATTAATGTTAGCAATTAGATCTTTAGGGCTGGTATCATTTAGTTTGTTAATAGTAGAGACTTTAAGCTCAAATATATTAACAATTTTCACAATGTGGGGACTGCTTCTAGGGTAATAACGTGAAACAATCAAATAATATGAATTCAAATTAAGAATTAGAATTGGGGGGATACATTTTCAATAGATAGAATCAATGAAATAAGAAAGCCACTGTCATTCGCTCCAAAGTGAAAGAATTCTTCATTTAGGAAATTATTATTAGGACAAATTTTTGAGGCACTGTAAACAAGTGTGCAAAAGACAGCTTTTGTTTGAATAAGAAGAGGGAACAAAAGGTTATGAGGGGAAAGTCAAACTGAAATGTTTTGTTATATACAGTTATCAGTATCGAGGAATAATACTTTTCAGGGTTGGCTAAAATATTTATTTTTGTTTAAAAAAAAAAGATTTTTTATTTATTTAAATGGAATTTTTATTTTTTATTTTTTTGAATTTACTTATCAAACATTATATTAAATTTATTAATAATGCTTAGTATTATTTCAAAACCGTATTATAACTAATATAATTACATTTTTTAAAAAATAAATTGGTTAAAAAATTTTATAAATGATTATTACAAACAAATCACTCAAAAATTAAAATTATAGTTATTTTTGTTCTAGCTCAACATTGAACACCCTTCTGAATTTGTAAAGAGGAAGACAAAAGTTGTCTATTAGATATCAAATTAAGAAAAAATTTATTTAGAACATGAAACTTAAAAAATTATCTATTGTTCTTGGCAAAACAGGTCTTTCTTGTTTATATTTATCAAACTATGTATTAATATGTATATGTAAAAGTACTGGTATTTAAATAAATAAAAGTCTTAATGAATATAATTGAAATATGTAATTTATAAAGCAGTATATTCGTTTACACGCAGGTAAAGCAAAATTATAATATCTGATAATTACATGCTACAAATTGTTGAGTCATTTTCTGTCTATTTTGAGCATTAAGTAACAATCGGCATATATTCCTCTCCCATTATTTCCCTAAAGAAACTTTCTATATTTATAAAATCTGACTTTGAAAACGTTTTTGCATATTAAAAATTATTGAAAACAATATTGCTTATTATAAATATATTTTTAGGTGTATATTTATATTAAAAAAATCTGTGTAACTTGCACCGATGATTTAAAAAAAAAATCAAATGATTTAAATTAACTGATTAAAATCATGCCAAACCAGTTGAATTTTATTTTGTAAGATTGGCTGGAAAAATTTTTAGTGTTCATCTATAATAAGAATTTATAATATGTTTTGTAGGAGATGTCTGCCCTGGATATTGTCATAGTAGATGTTCTAGAAAATTCAGAAAGAAATTCTCACGAAGAAGAGAAAATCAGTTCATCAACAAACAGAATGCATCTGCTTGGAATGCCACAAAAAGTCATTCAGGTTGAATTAAATTTAAAAATTGTTACACTTTTTCTAAGATTGATAATTTGTCTAGATTTTTAACAACGCATATCATTGTTTATTGCTTTATGTTAAAAATCAACACACTTGAAATGTGTCATTATTGTAATGCTGCATTTTTAAAATGTGCATTTTCTAAACTTAATTGAGTCACATTTAATCATTATAAAAGTGAAGCAACATGAGTAGTTGCATGAAAAACCCATTGATGAATGCTTGTATCTGTTTTCCTACACATAATCATACAAAAAGATCCTTTTTTCAAAATTTATTATTCAGTTTTATAATTAACGACCCATATTATTTTGAAGAAACAGAATGACAAGAATTCATATAACTTCTATGAATCATAACTTGTGTGTTTTTTCCCAAAATGAATATTTTTAATTCGTTGCTTTCCTTAGTAGGTTTTTCTGCAACATTCAAATGTGAATTTTTATTATTCTCATGTAAAAATTATCAGTATTACTTTAGACCATTTGGATATTTTAGAAGATCTTGGTGTTTTAAAATTTTGATTTTTCTCATCACAGTAGCTTCCGAAGCTTATCGTAGACTTGGTTTTCTTGCACATAAAACAAAGACTTTGCAAATGAAAAAATTTTAAAAATTCTTAAGCTTACATTTTTTTTTCTATCTTGGACCATTGCAGTATTATCTGTAGCCCTTAATGCAACAATAAAAAGCAATTACCTATGCTTTATTTATAACCTCATGTTCTTTCTGTTACTTCATTGCAAACAAAACATTTTTGATGCTCCATCATTGAAATGTTATAGAGATTTGTCTTATTTATAATTTTTCGGTAAAATTTTAAGTAATATGATTAACTGCTCTGATATTTTAAGTATAATTCAGTTTTCTATTAAAAAAAAATCAATATATGCAAAATGTATTTGTAAACTCGTTTTAAATTATTTGTTAAAAATTTTTTTAAATTTTTCGTCAAAAATTTTTTTGTAAACTGGTTTTGTAAATCTATTTATGTAAAAATTATTTCTTTATCCATAATTTACAAATTTTTTAACAGGCTTGCAAATGGAGTTAATATTTTAATGGGTCTTCTACTTTTTAAAATATTTTTTGAATGTTTTATACACTTGCAAAAATGTTATCTTTTCTCGCATTGTACATAACTGTAACTGGATTTTTTTTCATCTGTGATGCATGTTTTGTCAATGAAATAATGATAAAATTCTTATTAATATGTCATATTTATCAATATGGAAAAAAAATTAAAACTATTGCATAATCTGCTAAGCAGCAAATTAACCACTCACACATTTATTATTATTATTATTATTATATTTTTTAGGTTTCTTCCAATTTTAAGAGGCCATATTGCATTTTATTCCGTGGTAATTTTATGAGTGGAAAATCGTTCATAGCCAACAGGTTTCAGTTTCTGGGTTTACCGGTTCTTTGCTGTGATGAAATACTCAAAGCCATTTTCAACAAGGATGCTGAACTGCGCAGAAAAGTCATAGAGAGGATCTTTCAAAACCCCTCTGATACACTGGATTTTGAAAAGTTAGCTCTCCAGTGCTTAAAAAACAAGGTAATTTATTTTTCTGCCAAATTACGATGAAATTGATTTGAAAGAGGCTATTGTAGAAAGCAGTGGTTTTGCTTATGCATTATAACGTATCAAATGCGCTAAAAATTTTGGGAGTGCAAAAAATAACTCATAATTCTCTAGTACCTAAAATCTAACCAAACTTTAAATATTTATGTTAATAAAAAGTTTTTTTGTTCTTCATTAGTAGGTGAAGGAGAAAATTAAAATAGTTCTGAGTATCATATTACGCTGATACTTTTTCTTAATTCAGGTGTTTGATCAATTCTAAAAATGCTTGATTGTTAAAATATAACCCTTTACTTATTTTGAAATACTTTTTCTATCAAATAGATTGAATAATTATGAATGTGCATATTAATGGGATAGATAAAAAGGTAAAGAATTCATGTTTTAAATTTAAGAAAACCAACTTTTAATGAGAGGTACCTAGACATTCAGGTCTTAAGAACCCATAATTCCCAAAGTATAGCAGAATCGCTTAAAGAATTTTTTCTTTTCTGTTCACAAATTTTTTTGTTACATATTTCTTTTATGATGGCTGAATATTCATTATACAAACAGCATTTTAATGAAAAATTCAAGTTAAAAAGGAATGCATAAGTAGCTAATTTAACCTTATGGATAATTAAAAAGAAAATTTAAAATTTGATTCAATTGTAATTTTAAATAAAAACTCTTACTTTAAATTAATTATTTCAGTTCCCTCCAACAGTTGAGCGAGATATATCTCGGTATAAAATATGGCGATTATTTTATTTATTTATTTTGCATGAAAATTTGCCAATCTTAATTATTTATGCTCATATTATTTATTCATTAAGCTTTTGACAAACTTAGAACTTCTTCTTTGTTTTAATTTTTTTTCCTTCTCAAATCTATTACAAACCATTCCTGGAATCTAGCTTGTATATTTAAATTTGTTCTTGTAAATTGAAGATGTTCTTTCTTTCACCATGCTTATTTTATTCTATATCTTAACAATACTTATCCTATGTTATTTTCAAAATTAATAATTTTAAAAAGAAATTTCATTTTTTATTTTGATCTGAATTATTTAATTAAACAATATCAAATTTCGATGTGATTACCATATCAATTTTGAATAAATCTTGGCTTAAAATATATCTCTTTTGTATAAAATCTTGTATAAAATATATCTCTTTTAAAAATTCTGAAACTAAAGAAGTATTGTAATCAGTCTTTATTTAAGAAACAATTCAAGCTCTAGATTCAGTTTTTTTTTTCCAACTCATTTTAAGCTTGGATAAAAGAAGTGCCTTAATTGTGTTATAAATTGTTTAATTAAAAGTTAGTAATTAACATCTGATTTATTGTTATTTTAATAAAGATCTTTAGTTCTTCCTGATTTTTTTTCTTGGGGGGGACAGGGGTAATATCACATTTTTCACAATCTACATATATTAACCCAGAGACTAAGTATTAAACTAAAACCTGTATGAAATAAATAACAAAAATATAATTTTGTGTAGAAAAAAAATTTATTTTAAAAAGAGAAAGAACATTTTTTTAGAAGTTTCTGACAGTGATTATATTTAATGCTAGTCTTTTGTTATAATGTTATTGAAATTTCCCTTTTAGGAACATAAGGTTTGGTTATGTGAATTGGTTTTGTCCAAAATGAAGACATCTCTTCAACAAGTGTTGAAAGTTTATTCTGATCAAGGTAGAGTTAAAACAGGTTTTTTTTTATTAGTTAGAGGTAGATTAGTATAAATAATAGTGTTTTAGTTTTTAATATATTCTCTAGTCAATGATTTTATTGTTAATTGAAACCCTTGAAACTTGGAAAAAAGTCATCTAAAAATGTGGTGAATAAATATTATAAATATTTCATAAATATACATTCCATTTATTTTAAATATTTAAAAGAAACCCATTCTGTGTACTTAAAATACAAATACGACAAATTGTTTTTTGAATAACAGCTTAGCCAAACAATGAAATTTGTAATATGAATAATATTGAAGATTAAGTTGTATCTATATATGTACTGATTTAGTCTTTGACTTATTTTTAAAGTTAAATGCATATCCCGATTTTCATTTACTTAATTTTTTAAATTTCTTTTGACCTTTTCTCTTAACAGGGCATTATCTAAACATCTCTCTTATAGACAATCCGTCTCCATCAGTTTGTTTTTTATGTTAAATTATTTACCGATAAATCGAGGAATGGTGCAAACCCTTAGACACTTTCAAATTATTGCATTCTATGAAAGTAAATTCCTGTGAAAAGATTAAAGTTAAAATATTGGTCATGAATCATTCTGGAACATTGTCTTCTTGAAGAATTCTTTTATCCAGAGTCTTAACTTTAGCAAACTTTCGCTTGTGTTGTCGAACTTCAAATAATTCAGGGGTTGACCAAAATACATTTTAAATTTAATCTACATTTTTATCTTAAATTTCTCTAAAGTGTTATTTCTTGTTAATAACATTGATTTAAACAGACATGGCATTACTTTTGTTGGAATGAAACCTTTTTATTGTTGTGCTGTGAAAATTTATGATATACCCTATCAGACTTGCTCAAAAAAATGCTTAGGTTAGATCTTGTTCATAATGCAGCTAGAAACTATAACATTTAACTTAACCTTGAGTGTTTTTAAAACATTCAAAAGAATAGAAAATAAGTAATAGTAATAAAAAATAGAAAAAAATTATGTATGATAAAAATTATGATTGTGTTTCTGAGATGTTTTTGATCAAAATCATGTAAAAAGTTTAATAAATTATAATTAAATTATAGCTTACATTTGCAACACGCTGAAAAATAGGTATAGACGACCGCAACTAAATTAACTTTTAATTTTTATTATTTTTTTGGTTCTTCTCATTTAGCTAGATGTAAGTCAATTAAAAAATTTATTATTTATTATTATTATTTTGGGAACATCCAATTTGTTTTGCATTCAAAAATAAATAAATAAAGAGTTGTGTTTACTTGGGCCTAGCTCACCAAGCAGTGGGGACAAAATATTTAGAAATTCAATTGTAATACTTCGATCTTTTAAATAAACATTCTTGCAGGCTCTCATGTTGTCTTAGTTAAAGATTCTGCTATATTAGAAGGATGTGATCTAGAAGTTAATATTAATGAAATTTGGGCTGCAATAGTTCCTATAAATGAGGTATATGTTTGTTTTTTTTATTATGTATTCATATTTTTAATTTTTTATTGGAATTTTTTAAATTCTTTTTAATTCATTAAGTTTTGAAATTTAAATTTATCTAAATGTGAAATGTTTAAGGACTGAAGTCATTAAATACTGTTAACAAAGAAGATATGTCAAGATGAACACGTTTTTAGAATCTTTCATTCCTTTAAAGGGTGTGTAACGTTTTTAAGAAGTGCTTATTTTCGATTTTTAAAAGCCCTTAAAGGTGCAATTTTCATTTGGTTTTTTAATAAGTGCTTAATTTTCCCTTTTCTAAAATGAGATTTTTTTTCTATATCATGTTGATTTTCTCACGAATTATGCAACAAGAAAGACATAGTTCTACTCAACATTTTTACAATTAATTCAACCCCAATTTATTTCCGGCATACCCTTGGTCTGTAGCGTATGAAAACGCCAACATTTGCAGGTCCACATACTAAGCTGGATTGTCCACTCATATGCAGCTCTGCTGCATTTTGCAAGAGATTCTCAATTTCAGACTTCATTTTCCGCCCCTCTGAAAATTTCCTGATAAGTAAACTAATTATAATTTACAAAAAATACAAATGTTTGTTTAAAATGAGTTAATAATTTTCTTAATTAATCAATTCAAGGGTTTATTAAGTTACCATCAATATTTAGTACAGTTATTAGAATAAATTTCCTAATTACATGTTATTTTATTATGTTATAATAGTTTAGTAGGTCAACATCAACATTCTAGTCTATACAGCTCATAATCAATCAAAAGAACAGTTACAAATTTTGGTCTTATTCATACAAAACGGAAAAATGAACGGAGGAATGAGACAGAGGGCTTCGAAACTATTTTTTTTGTAATCGCTTGCTTTGGGAAAAGATGAGTTAAAATTGAAATAAATGAAAATTGATTTTGCATATAAAGAATAAGATGATTGTTAATTTTTTTATTAAATGCTTTTGTATTTTATTTTTAATTATTAAACAAATTACGGGATTGGATAAATTGCAATTTGACAGTAATTTTCAAAGCAAAAAGAGTTTTATGTTAAGATAATTCAAGAACATAGTATTGATGGAACACTTTTAATTTTACATTTATATTAATTTAAAAATACTTCTTATTTATTATAGATAACAATTATCCTTACTCCAAAATTTTGGGTTTTTGGCAATAGTCAAAAAGGTTTTTTTTTGATATGACAGTCAGTTGTCAAAACCTTGTCAACCATGATTAATTATGAAATTTTTTTAAACTGCTTAAATATAATTTTTGAGTATTTCAAAAGTGCTTATTTTTTGTTGAAAAATTTAGTTACATACCCTGTTTTATTTCTTGCTTTCTTATAAATTAATAATCTATATACATATATTTTTTAACACATTGACAAAAAAATTCTTTTTTCTGTGTTGGCAACAATGAACTGAAATATCAACTGAGTATGCAGCAGAGTTGGCCATCGATTACAGTAATTAATTACAACTGTAATTAATTACAGATAATTACAGCTATGTAATCAATTACTTGTAATCACGATTACAAGTAATCAAAATTTTTTAATACATCTGAGTAGAGCAAAAATGTAATCAATTACAATTTTCAATTGCAGTAATCAATTACTTGTAATCATGATTACAAAGTTTGATTACAGCTGTAATCATGATTACATAGTCGATTACAGTAATCAATTACTTGTAATCATGATTACAACTTTCAAAACATTTAGATTACTGCTGTAATCATGATTACAATTTTGATTACAGTAATCAATTACTTGTATTCATGTTTCCAAGTAATTGCGATTACAAGTAATCACAACAAAAACGATTACGGGTAATTATGATTACAAGTAATCAAAATATATGATTACATGTAATTTGATTACATGTAATTGTGATTATTTGTAATCAAACTATACGAATACAAGCTATTACACTTGTATACTTGCACATAGTTGTGTAAATAAAATGCATACATGTACATCGATGTATGTACATGCAAAGTATGTACATACAACGTATACATGTACATAATTACAAGTAATGTATAAATACATGCGTACATTTAAATATATGTAATTACAATATACACATACATTGTACATACATTATTCTAAGGCATATAAAACTCGACCTCATATTTTTTAGAAAGTAAACGATAATTTTATAAAGTAAACGGTATTTCTAAATATTATTTCCACACATAAAATTTACCGTTTTTTTGCCATTTAAAAAATTTCTATGAATCATGCATTATGTTATAAAAAAATAAATCTGTATTGCCTAACATTTCATGAAAATACCTGAAAATAATTCTTTATTCAAAGAATTTCAAAATGACATAGAACAATTAAAGCTGAAAACTAAATTTGATTTTGTCATTTAACTTGCTTGAGTCATTATAAGTTAACTTACATGCATTTTATTTATTGCATTGTACACATATTTAGACGTAAATGTAATGTACATATGTATGCATGTACATACATTCATGCATTGTACATGCATATATAGTACATATGGATATGCATACATGGAACATACGTGCATTGTACATTTGTGGATATACATTCATTGGACATATATACATTGCACCAGAGGCAAGATATATAGATAGGGATAGCATGTATGTACACATGTAAAATTTGTACAAAAGAATTATGCCCAATATATTTATGCACACATGTACTGTATATGTACACACATATGTACATTATATGAATATGCATCTGTACGCTATATGTATATACATGTGTACAATATATGCATCTCAAATGTGTGTATTTACTTACGTCATGCATGTCGAATGTATGTATGAATATATGTAAAATATAAATTGCCCAATGTACGTACAATCATACACAAATGTATTATGCATATTTGGATACATACATTGAACATGAATATATTGTGTATATGTACATCCATACATTGGACATGCAGATCATGTACATATATACATACATATATTGTACATACTATATATATTGTACATACTACATATATACCTATATTGTACATACTACATATATTATACTGATCATAAATAAATTGCACATGCATGCATGGGACATACATTGTATGGACAATGTATACATGTTTGTACAAACAACAAGTACTTGTATATACATGAACACAGATATACATTTTACATACACAAATATTTGCATAAAATGCATATATCCATTGTGTATAAATTTACATGTCTACATTGTTTGTACATACATACGTAATTATTAGCTATATACATACTTACATATATTTTATACTTACAATATAAGTGTATGTACATGCGTGTGAAACTAAAATGTCTGAACATATGCACTAGATAAAATCATATGTACATACATTTTAGTTACATTCATTTGTACGTGCAAAATGTATAATTATAAAATACATTATACTATCTACTGTAAAATATAATCATTTATAAGAATACAATAGGTAGGTAATCGTGTATTTAGTTTATATGTAATCATATATTTTGATTACTTGTAATCATAATTACCCGTAATCGTTTTCGTTGTGATTACTTGTAATCGCAATTACTTGGAATCATGATTACGAGTAATTGATTACTGTATTCAAAATTTTTTGAAAGTTGTAATCACGATTACAAGTAATTGATTACTGCAATCAAAAAAAGGAATCGATTATATTTTTGGCCAAATCTGGTATGCAGTCATAAGCATGAACATTTAAATACACATGTTCGAAATTTTAAGAATAAAAATTCAATTCTAGCAGAACAACAGAAAGCTGAAACAAACTGAGTGATTAGTTGAGAAGAAATAATAAGTTAAATAGCAAACAGTCTGTATCATCAAACAAACTATTCTATATTTTTGTTATAATTATTCTTATTAATTAATTCATGATTAATAATTTAGAGCTATATTTTAGTGGCAATAATTCTTCATAATTAACATGAAGGGAAAATTAGTTTTATCAATAAAGATTGAACACACATTTTTTTTTTTTTTTTTCTTTTNGATTTTGGTTGGTTGGCGCGGGGCCGGAGGCCATAGCGACCAACCCGTTTGTGATAGAGCTATATTTTAGTGTCAATAATTCTTCATAATTAACATGAAAGGAAAATTAGTTTTATCAATAAAGATTGAACACAAATTTTTTTTTTTTTCATTTTCTAACCTTTTCATTTTGCAAATTTATGTTAGAGTAAAATTGTTATGCGTTTATCTAAGAATATGTTGTTCCTCCAATCACTGAAATTTACTTTTTTGTATATATAAAAATATAATATATACATAAATTAAATTAAATTTTGATGATTTGAATATTTACAGGACGCATATATGTTGGATGTATATATCATTTTGAAAAGAGCAGCAGCATATATTCTAAGCTAGCCAAAACGTATATGTATCCAAAAAAAAAGAACTGAGCGACCTTGAATTTTGAAGTAGTTTAGGGATATGGAAAGAACAGCAAACAGGGGTGGGCCCTCTAATATCATTAGAACAGTTTAAAGAAAAAACATTCAAAATTGTTCTTCTCTGTATTGTCTCTTCTAAATTGATCTTCACTGTGACAGCTAAAGCTTGAAACAATGTATTGCCATGATTTCGTAAAAGATTTTTTTTAGCAGTCCCCCATAACTATTTATTTTACTATTATGACAAATGAGTAAATTAAGCAAAAGTCAATATTAGAAAATAATAATTTCTGTTAAAATGCAAAAGTTGTTGTATTCGATTATGATCCAACATCTGGCAACTGATGTTATCAAGCAAAAATTTTTGTTTGTTATTATGTACTACCTTATTCTTTCAATTACTATTCAATTCAGGGTGTTCATTTCAAATGCTTTAAGTCTGATTTTTCAATCTAGATTTGAATCACTCTATTCTTTAAAAAAAGATATTAGGTTACATCGTTATAGCAGTGAAAAACATTTGCTTCTAAAAATTTGCTTTGCTTTTCAAGAAATTTGGAAGAGTCAAATAATAATATTGAAACTTTCAAAAGACTTCTCTCTTTTTGACTGAACTCAACTGTCAAAGGAGTGAAGATAAAGGAGGATTATAAACATGTTTCTAATACCCTTTATTTAATTTTCACAAATAAACTGTGTGTTGAATATTTATCCAGCAGTATTTTTTGATACATGTAAAATACAAAACCATCACCCCAACGGAATTTGAGATAGAAAGCGTACAGTATATTATCTATTAATTTTTTCTAACAAAATGTTACCAATACAGTTTTTGAAAAGTAGTTAAATTTTATGCTGCTCCCTGTTTTTAGATTTTTGATAAGTATCTTTGTTTTTGTGCAACGCTGTTTCTTCTTATCTAATAAAGCAATCCCTTAGTTTTCCATCCTTTTTTGAGAGTTGTTTTGCTGTTGAATAAAAAAAAATCAAGAAAACGCCAATCAAAATTATCCAAGATTGCAAAGTTAGAGGCTTAAGTGAAAAGTAAATCAGAATTCTTTTCACAAGCTTATAGTTTAAAATCTTTATAGATAATGACTTTTAATAAATAAACATTAACAGGAAACTTTTTTTAAATTAGTGCAAGTGATAAAAATATGCATTTGACAGTATGCCTTTGATTTATCATGTATTGCATGTCATAATTATGTATTGCATGTCATAATTATGTATTATTGTCAAATGTATTGTGTCGCATTTTCATATTTTAAAGTTTAAAAGTTGCAAATACTATGATTTCAGTATGATAATTAGAACACAAATTTCGATAACCAAAGAATTCCCTAAAAATATTCTTAAAAATTTTAAATAATGTCCTTAAAAATGTCCTAAACCTGAAAAATGCCCCATGTAACTAAAAATATTTAACTATAACAATGTTTTTCCCTTTATAATAACTTTCAATTGCGTTTAAAAATGTAAAACAATGCAAAACCTGTTCCATTTACATTAAAGTTTGAAATAAAATGCTATAATAGTAATAAAAAAAAGGAAATATATTTTTATATGTAAATTTTAATGAGCATAAAAATTCCAATATTATTAGGTATCAAAGTTACATTAGATTACTAAATGCTTTTCATATTTTAAAATTTAAATGAGCATCTCGTGCCTGAATGTTAATTTTGTTTCTCTGAGAAGCTTTTTTCAATGTCTATGTGATTGGTGCTTACTTGAAAAAGACGGTCTCACTTAACGACAATTTCTCAGTTTGAAAACTTGTCGCTTCACCTGTTAAGAGATTTTCTGGAGGGGAAAAAAAACTAAAGATTTTCTAGATTTGTTGTAGTTGTAGTTCATTTACGTCGCACTAGAGCTGCGCAATGGGCTATTGGCGACGGTCTGGGAAACATCCCTGAGGATGATCCGAAGACATGCCATCACAATTTTGATCCTCTGCAGAGGGGATGGCACCCCTAGATTAGAGAGAAAGATTTTCTAGAAATAGAAAAAAACTCCTTCAAATACTTGAAAAATATTGTAAAATGTAAAAGAATCCCTGCTAGAATATCATTTTAAGAATCAATTTATTGATTCTTTGCCATTTGTGTGGAGGTTAGGGAATTGCCCTTGTATCGGAAAGGTTCTGGGTTCGAATCCCAGGTGAGGCATGGATGATCTTTCTTTCACTGTACTATATGTCCTTACAGTGGGAGCAACGTTGGCCCACCTAATATGGTGCCCCTGAAAAATGCCTGAATTGATAAAATGTTCACAATGGTGGGCGTTGGAAATATAAAAAAAATTATTTGCCATTTTGTTTGTGGCTTTTAAATTCAGGTGAATGATTTTTACAATATAGATCATGGGATGAATATCAATGCAAAAAAATAAAATTCAGTTATTGTTGGGCACAAAAGTTTGCTATCACTCTTTTTTTATATATTTATGAGCCTCAACTCGTTTAATAAATTATAGTCTCATTTATAAATTCAAAAATATACTATTCCAAAGAATCAAAAAAACATCATGTCTTGCAATATTTATTGCCAAACATTTTCAGAGCTTTTTTTAAAAAATTAGCTGGTTAATTTTTATTATGTAAGTAAATTCGGTATACGAAATGCATCAAAATGTTACTGATGAGGTAAAGGGGATATTTTATAGTGTTTATGAATCTTTATTGTTATTGAACTAAAATATCAATTGCTTTGGTTTATTGATTATGACTTAGTTTACTTTATATTTTTAAGAATTTCAATTTTATGCAAAGATATAAAACTTCAATTCTTACTCAGGCCTTAAAAAAATTAAACGATGTTTACGATCTGACCCAAGATGAGGCGCTGGAAATCGTCCAATGTTTGCCCCCAAACGAAGAGTATGTTGCAGCAGCCAATATTCTCTTTTGCAATATGTGGTCTACAAATGCCATTCAAGCTCAGGTAAACCATTCTGGCACAATTTATTTTTGTTAAAATATGTTCTGCCTGTTATTTAATAATATTGTTTCTGACTTTAATAATTTTTTACCTCAAACATTGTATTTTGAGGGATAATAGTTGATTTCATCAACTTTTTGATTTTCTATTAATAATTTTATACTTAAAGTTTCAAATACTACTATTTAGATTTGTTTGGGTTGGTTGATCTTGTTTGGGTTGGTTAGGCCCTTGTCCAAAAGGTCCTAAGTTTGATCCCCGACAACCATGAACTTCCCTTGTGGTAAATGGTGCACACTAAATCTGTAGGGTCACAAAATCCTCCATGTTCCCATAAAAAATATATATATATATCTGCGGGTACTGAATTGAAGATTGTTTTCTGGTTTAGGTCAAAATTACGATCTGTAGATAAAGGGATGTACCAGTGGGTCCACCCTATAAACCATAGAGTTATAAATAAGAAGGAGTGGGCATTCCTCTCCTTCCCTATAGGCGCGAGTGAAGTAACTGTCAAGTAGCGGCGGCCATGTTGGTATAACCAGAAACTTCGCTGAGCCGCTCAGGTTTCAAGAGGAAGACTTAGGTTTTTTTTGATAGTTTCTCTTATGTTTGGGAAATTTCGAAAACGAGATTGAAATAGTTTTGTTGTTAATACATAACACCTTTTTTCATTCAATTTTTCAACATTAGTTTCTTTTCTTCTTCCGAAAAAATAACGTTTTAAGATAGCTCTATTTTACAACTGAATTAAAAAAAGAGCTTTACAGCAGTTTTCTGGAACTTAGATTCCTTTATATTTTATGTAGGCATTAAAAGTAATATATTATTGTTATTTAAGGAGGCAGCTTTCCAATTAAAAATTTATTCAAAGAATATCACATTAAAACCACACTCTTTTGAATATAAACAAAATAATATGAAACGCACTTTTCTTTAAAGTTAGAATATTTAATGGGGAAAATATTGGTTTGTACTAAAAGAATAGCAATAATCAACATTAAGCTATTTGAGTAAACGCTTGGGTAATAAAACTAGTCCATAACATACTTTTTATTACTAAGCAAAGAAGTCTAATTTTTTATTTTTTTTGCTAAGCACTTGATCATATGAAGTGTACAAAACTGTAATTTACAAATAGCAACGTAAAATAACTGTGTATTTATTTTTAAAGGTAAATACCCAGAGTATTTAATATATAGGAATATTTATTTTCCAATTGAGGTTTAAACTCCACTCATGAAATGCTCTATCTCNGATCAAGGGCTACAGCAAATCTTGTTTATAACAATTTGTAGATATTCACGATCATTTGTTACAATAAATGTTATGAATTATTTCTAAGTAGTCTTTCTGTTCTACTGCAAATCTCTACATTTATCAAACAATTTAGAATGGGGAATGTTCTCTGCAGATGAAGACTTGTGTTCACATTTAAATGGAGACTGCTTGTTGAGAATATTGTTTCTATCTTATAAAGACTAAAACTGTTAGCAAATAAAGCAAAAAAGTTCCAAAACTTTTTGTTTTGTTAATAAACCTTGACATTAACAACTTTTCTTGAAATAAAACAAATTTGGAAGAAAATAATAATTTAACTTAAAATAAACTTTAGAATACTGTTGAAAAACATACAGTTATGAAAGCTTTATTAGATTAAACTAACTATGCTTACTGTAATAAATTTGAAGAGTAAGTTTAAGGCCAGATTGGTGATTATAAACTTATATAAATAAATAAGTCAATTAAATAGCTAAGTTTACGAGGTTGGGATATTTAACTATTTTTATTTGATGAATTAATTCATTAATTAGTGGTGTTAAAAGTTAAAAATTTGCATAGATTGAAAGGTTTTTTTTCTTTTGTAAATTAAATTGTTGAATAAAAATTTAATGTTTTTAAATCATTAATTATATTGTTTAAGAAAGCCAATAAATTGTAAAATTATATAATTTAATCAATGATAGCACAATTTAAGTTTGATACTCTGATTAAAGAGTGAAGGTCTTCATTCCACAAATCAAATATCACAAAAAAAACAACAACATTATTTTGGTTTTGTGGTTATGAGTTAAAAAGCTTACTCAGTGAAATTTTTTTTAAAAAAAAGAGATTTCTCGGGGGAAGTTCTTATTTTAGCTTTATTTAAATATATGTATATAATTTATTTATATAGCTAAATCTATAATAAACCAAGACCTCTGGGGGTACTGGATTGGAGACTGATCGTTCTTTGATTCAGGTCAAAATTACGATCTGTGGATGTATGAATGGGTCTGCCTTATAAACAAGCGTGACGTATGATGTGGCAGAAGTCGAATTCTTGGCCATAGATGGCGGCACTGAAAAATAAGAATCTCACACTCTGCCTTAAATTTGCTCGGTTTCACCAAACAGGCTTGCTATTCGAACCAACCAAATCTATTTATTGCTAGGATACTCAGTGGAAGAACCGGTTAAATGAGTTGGCGACGAATAATCAATAACAAACCTAGAAATTCTCTTACTTGACATTGAACATTAAGGCACAGAGAAAGAAAAAAGTTAAACTTGAAGCAGCAGCTTCCATACATTAAGGAGAAATTAAATTTTTTTTTACAAAAGAAAAAATAACCCTTAAACAGCTTCAACATACAATTTTTTTGTTTCTGTTATGCATTAGTTTGTGTTTCAAACTAATTTTTTTTTTTTTAAGCCAAGTCCAATTGAAAATAAATATTATTTAGTGCTTAATTAAATTTTTGTTATTATGAGCTGAACACTCCCTTTTCTTTTTGAAATAAAACAAAATAATCAATAAATTTAATTGGTAATGATTAACTTCGCAAAATCATGCACAAAGTAAAAAAGAGAAATACGGGCACAATCATTCGGCATAATTCTATTGTTCGAAGTTTTCTATTTTTCAGATTATTATTTTTAAATTGTATATTAGACGGGGCTCATGAACAATCTTTAAGATGTGTGGGTTCACTTAAAATATTTAATCTGAAATAATAAGTGTACTTATATGTTTGACAAAACTTAATGGCTACATATGAACAAAATACAAAGATAGATAGTTAAATGTTATTTTGCTACCTGTTAGCAGAAATGGTCCTGCTGATGCAAATTATAATTTGTTAGAAACATATCAAAGCTCCATTAGCATCGAGCTAACCGTGAGAGGTGAGTTTTATTTAAGTAACAAATAGAAAGATAAAAAAATTGCGCTAGTGAAATTAAACATTATTGAACATTTCATCAATTGTTCAGCATTTTAATCGATGAATTCTATATGATTAATTGTATGAAGCCTCCCTGTTCTGATGTAATAGAAGTTAATAACAGAACTATTAACATAATAACAAAATTTAATTTTATAGTTTGCAGTCAAACCAGTTGCTTACAGATTACACTTTAGAAAGAACTATTACAAGTGCAGGGGTCTGACCAGGCCAAATTTACTACCGTTTAGCGGTATCTTCACAAATTCAACTTTAGGAAAAACGGTAGTTTCACAAAATACTTTTTCTTAAAATTTTATTTTTGTACCCTTAAAAAACAATAAATCCATATTTTTGTGTTGATTTTTTAATATAATTTTTAATTTTCACAAATTATGTCTGTATTTTCACAAAATAAGTATCTCTCAGAAAAACCTAGACAGACCCCTGAAGTGGCAGACTGGATGCATGAAAATACACCAAAATTTAACTGCCATACTGATTGAAAAAAGTTTGCCATCTCTTTCTTAGCCAAGATTGCTCTGGATCTATTTCTTATCATAATCGATAAAAATAATAACTTGCCCTTCATTTTTCTTCATTAGTATAGGATTATAAGAACAGTGCACCAAAAAAAATGACCCCTGAATAACTTTTGATCTAATGATCGGATCTTCACACTCTAGGACTCATTCATAATGGTTTGAGGGGGTGACCTCAAATGTGCTAATTAATTAGTGTAGGTGTTATTTTAAGTTACGAAATAAGACACAAAAAGGTACTTACGCTCAATAAACATACCTCTTTCCAATTCACCTTTCTGACCACCAAAATATGTAATAAATAGTATTTGCAGTTCGGTCCCCCTAATTTTAATTTTATTTTTTGTGTATTTTGCCATAGCTCAAGAATTTTTTTAAGCTAGTTGAAACATTTTAGCACACAATTAAAAAATTTATCAAAAGATAATTTCACACAAAAAATAAATTTTATTAAAAATTTATTGTTTTTTATTAAATAATTGTACATAAAATTTTGAATTGTAAGATTTACAACTTTTTACTACATTATAAAGTATGTATTTTTAAGTGGCAATTTGAGTAAAATTAGTTGAATAATTCCTGAGAAATCGAATTTTTAAAAAGTCGTATATTTAAAATTTGGTTTTAAATATACCACTTCTTAAAAATTCGATTTCTCAGAAACTATTCAGCAGATTGGGCTCAAATTTTGTAAAATTACACACTTTAAAATGACATAAATAACTGTGTATCTTACAATTCAAATTTTATTTTTTACTATTATAAAATGATAATAATAAACATTAACAAAAATTTATTTTTTGCATAAATAATCTTCGGACAAACGAATTTTATGGAGCAAAAATTTTACAATTTGCTTTATTCTTGAGGAGATATGGTGAAATATGCAAAAAGTAAAATTAACATTAAGGGGTGTAAACTTCAGATCCCTCTCTTGATCTAACTATGGGGACCATATTTTCAGATTGCATCTACACCTTATATTTTGGAAGTCATAAAACCAAATCCGCCGAAAAAAAGATATGTTTATTCAGAGAAAGTATATTTAGTATCTGATTTCGCAATTTAAAATATCGTCTGGAATAATTAATTACCATATTTGAAGTCACCCCCCGAAACCATTAAGAAGGAGTCCCAGAGAGTGAAGAATCAATCATCTAACTTTTGATGTTTTCCTGTCTCACTTGAAAAATTTTGACTCAATATAATATTTTAAACGTAATTCAGGGTGCGTAGCCAAATTATTCAACAAAAAATAAGCACTTTTCAAGCACTCAAAAAATATTTTTAAGCACTTTAAAAAAATATCATAACTAAGCAAGGTAGGAAAGTTTTGACAATTGACGGTTTTATCATGTTTTAACCGTCGTGTCAAAAAAAAAACTTTTGGCATTGTTTTCGACAATTGTCAAAAATCATGAAATTTTGAATCATATAAAACGAATGGCGTTTTCACACGCTACGTTTGGTCTGGCAATAGATTGGGGTTGAAATAATTGTGCAAACGTTGAGTAGAACGATGTGAACTGAGTCTTTTTGCATAATTCGAAGCGAAAATCAACATGATAAAAGAAAAATCTCATTTTGAAAAAAGGAAAATTAAGCACATTTTAAAAACACCCAATGAAAAAAGCACCTTTAATGGCTTTTAAAAAAACAAAAATCGAAAATAAGCACCTTTAAGCACTTTTTAAAAACGCTACGCACCCTGTAATTGCAGCTTTATCTAAATAAATTAGATTTTTTTTAAATTAATAAAATATTACCAAACAATTATAATTATAAATATTTTACTGGCAACAAAACCAACATATTATATTAAAATATTTTTTTGAAAGCAGTAGTAATTTTTTATGCTATTCTAAATTAGAGGACTCTAAAAATCAATGAAGTACTGATATCAGAATAATAGGTACGCATTGCTAGAATAATTCAACATCACAGGACATCAATAATAGTTTGGGGATTTTCCTGGGGTCTCTCTCATTGAAAAAGTACTCAACGATTTGTTAATAATATATGTTTAAAAAATAATTCAATATTTTTTATACTTTATATAAATATATTTTTCTTATCAAAAGATACTTACACAAATTGTGGTTTAAAATTCTACAGATAAAATTAACAAATCAAATTAATCAGTCGAAAGAATGTAAGGATTTTTTTCCCAAAAAGAATCCCCGATTATATCAGTGAATGTCAAACACAGCCTTGTATTAATGTTCACAGAATTTTCAACAATCACCTGTTTCTTATTTATTTTTTCTTTCACTATAAGAGTACCTTTCCTAAACTGTTCTGGCTCATTATTGTAATTTACACCCAACTGAAATAAAATCTCGTGCTTCCCAGATGAGATGGTGTGTCTTATTCTTTCTTCCGCTTCCTTACGAGACACGCCCTCCAACTGAACTAAATTCCAAAATGTGGTGTTGTACAAATTGTTTATATGGCAGTCTGTCTGCCTCCAACTCAGATAATCACGAAGATTTTTGTTGGTCGGATAGGTCACTATTCTGCCATCGAATGACGGCAAACCCTTCATCCTCACGTCGGGGAAAAAGTCATTCCAATGAACAGCAAAAGAAACTGAAAATAAGCTGCAAACGTGAGTCAATATTTTCATCAGTCTTCTTTTATAAAGCCGAGTGTTTCTTTCGAATACAAAACTGTATTCGTCGCTCTGTCCGTACGCTAGTATTATATCGTGTATTTCTTGCATCACATTAGAAGCGCACTTGTTCATGAGATCCAAACAGCAAAGATCGTTTGGCTTTTTAAAATGATGAGTGTCTGCAAATTTATGAAAACACTTCCCATCGATACGAACAACAATCCACACGTTTGGTGTTATAACATCAGAGCTTTCGAATTCTTTCACGTATTCGTATGCACTCTTTGCCATTTCTCAATGTTAGATCAAGATCATTAACAAAGGAAAAATGTTAAGTTTCAATTATTACAAAAAAAAAAATAAATAAATAATAGTAATCAAGATTTTGAAAGTTAATCGCGTTGCGACACCAGCAACGCAACCACCAAATACGTTTCCGCATACCTATTTCTGTTGAACATGGAACTTAATTAGGTGCCTTTCGGAAATCAGAAAATATGAAAAAACTTTGTTAATTAATTTAAGATAATCATTTTTTTGTTAATATACATATATATTAACCCAATACCTGCTATTGAATATATCGTCAAAGAAATTATTTTTAGAAAAATTTTAGAAAATTTTGTGGTTGTTATAAGCATGATATCAGAAGTCGTGAATGGCAAGCCATCACTTAACAACCAAAAAGGCATAGCAACTGTGTGTAAACAACAAGGCAAGTCGAAAACAACTTTTATAAGCGATAAGCAGAGAGCTCGCAGCACTTTACTATACTCAATACTAAAAACAACTTTAAAGCTTCATAGTTAACTCTAAAAACGAAAATTAATTTGCGCATTTGAACTAACAAAAATTAATTTTATAGTAATCTATTTTCCATTTCTCAATCAAGCGTTAGGCACTCATCTTAAAAGATCTTTGCATAACAAAGTTTCAAGATAAGTATTTTATTACATCATTTTAAAACTGATTAATATATTATTTCATTTGCGTAATTCATCACAGATATGTTAGGATTACTTAAAGAATGCGATCGCCAGATACAACAGCAGCGGGAAAAATTGCTAAAAGGAAGAGATTTGGCTTTACAAGAAAAATTTCGTCAACTAGATCAGAAAAGAAGCATTCCAGACTATTTTTCTAGTGGTGAAAATGAAATAAATAAATTACAAATTGCTTCTAAATCTCACATCGATATTTATTGTAATCAGAATATTAAACGGTCTGAAAAATCACTCAGTAAAGAAGTGGGTAAGTAAATATGATTTCATTTTGTCGAATAGTAGTACAGATCTATTACAAATGCATTTGATTATAAAAGGTTTCAAAAGCTAAGTTATTATGATTTGAATATTATAGTATCTAGTAGCTATTTTATTCCACACAAAGAGTAAAATAAGAATATCCCCTCAGGGGCCATTCATTATTGATGTCACACTTTTTTACGTGCTTTCTCCCCCTCCCCCCAATATCCAAGACTATTTGAGAGATAGATGTAGGCTCCAATAGGTGTAGGCCTAGGTTCAGACTATTATGTTTTAGATCATATTCCAAGTAACTTTAAGTGTTTAAATGGCATTTGTGAGTATAACGAAAATAATGATTAGACATGTATTTATTTTGATTAAAAATAAATATGTAACCAAATAATATAAATTATACTTAGTTTGCAGAATTCAAATGCTTTTAAACTAAATATACTTAGTCACACTTCTTGTAGCTACCTCCCCCTTGTCACAATTTCACAAATACCTCCCTCCCCTCCAAGTGTGACTTATGTACGGCCCCTTATTTATTTGAGCTCAATGTCATATTTATAGAGCTTCTTTTCTTTTTTCTTACTTACTTTTTTTGCACTTTTCGATTCACCGGATCAAAGTAAATTCAACAGTTTTATTATTTTTATTACTTATATTATTTCTACATACAGTGACGTAGAAAAAAGAGGAAATTTTGAGGTTTTAACCTTTTTATTTTTATTTTATTTCCAAAAAATATAATTCTGTTATTTTGTGATCAAGGGAAAAAACGAGCATATAAAAAAACGTGTATGTAAAAAAGTGTTTACAAGAATTAAATAATTACGTTTAATTGTACATAAAGCATCCCTCACTTCCCAAGAAGCCATTTGATCCCCTAAAAAATAGCCGCTTATTTTACATTTGCTTCGTTCTTATCTATGATCCAGTGAATTGACAATGAATTACCTTGTCTAATTTTAAGTCATAAATCGTCTCAGGGAGAGAATTATCAAGAATTTCTAAGGCTTTGATAAATTAAACTTTTAGGTAAGTGAATCGGGGGAGATACTGGTTGGCTTTTTTGGTTATTTCGTCAAAAGACTTCTGATTCCGGGACACTCATCGTAAAGTGCTCTCACGATTTATTGCAATTTTTTTCTTCATTTATTTCATTTCAACATTTATGTATAGTGTTTATTTCAAAATTTTAATTTTGCAAAAATCCCTCTTTTTTTTACTTTTTTTTTAATTGATTATTATTCGCTTAAATTGAAATCATCAATTGTTTTTATTACAATATATTCGCGATAGATTTTAATTTTTATTATTTTTATTTTAGCAAATTAAACTTTGATTTTATTCTTATGTTAGTTTTTGATGCTATTATGATATTATGCATTCTCTGCAATTTTTCTCATGCTCTCACTTTTTCCTATTTTATATTTATAACATTAAACGCTTCTAAAGCAAAATTTTGCATCTGTTTAGGAAACATTAACGACTGTTTTTCTTCAAGGATGAAACATTTATATTACATTTAATTCAACACAAAATTGTGAACATATTTAAAAGACTGATATTTCAAAAAATAATTAATAATACTTTTGAGATGAGGAATTGAATCTGTTTCAAACATTTTACTTGTATTTTTCTATCTCATTTTATATAGTATATGGAGCAAAACTGAAATAACTACCATTTTTATTCTCTTCTTTTGAGTAGCAATACAAAAACGTCAGTCCTTAAAAAATATGAGCTAAAAAATAGCATATTAAATTAAAAAGCGACGTTTTGCAAGTGGACTAAGAAAGAAAAAAAAATTTCGTTTTGTCTCTCCGGGTCTCGCATAAAAAGAGACTCGTAAATGCTTTAGCTTTTTTGGAGTCTTAGGTTTTGCAGCAGGCTTCAAAAAATAGAGCTATTTTTACCTTTTTCAAGCGCTTAAAACGTCTATTTCAAGCGCTAAAAAACGTCTTATTTTTTTTATTTTTTAATTTCAGTTAATTATTTTATGCTATTTTAGTTTTTTTTAGTAGTTTGTTTATATGGAAAGGATTTATATAGATTATGATTGTAACTTGTATTGCAATCAGGCAGAGACTTCTACCTGATATTTGCGCATTCCATCTAGTCAGAAAATGATCAAAATTTTAACTGACGATCAATTCTTTTTCAAAATAAATTCATCTCGTAGCTTTCAGGAAACGATAGAAATATGTGATGTCATCCAGGACAAAGCTTCAGTTAAAGCTTAATTGTTTTAACAAGGCGAGGAGAAACGTCGGATTATTGATTGATTATAAATTTCTTTTGGTGGTAACATCGTAATAAATTTAGCAGCAGTTCTATAAATCTTTTGCTAATTTATGTTCAATTGAAAATACTATAAATCGTTTTTTAAACAAAGTTATTTTATTTAATTTCTAAGAAAGTTTATTTTTGAATATTGAAAAAGGTATTTCGCTTCAAATAATCGAAATTTATTTCCATCAAATTTCAGAAACAGACTGAAATTTATAAATATCTGAAGGAGAGGTTTATAGTTGAAGCTAAAAAGAATCTGAGATTAAATACTTATTTTCAGATTCAATTATGTAAAATAGTTCGATATGAAGTCGCTTAAAACCTGTATTAATAATTTTAATTAATTTTGATTAGACAAAATGATAAGTCTACTATTGGTTCTGAAATAGTTCTTATTTAGTATTCAAATTAAAAAAGCATATTAATTTTATTTTAATATTGTTTAAACCATAACCATAACATAAGTAAAAAAACAAATAATAATAATAAATAACAAATATTGAATGAATAAAAATAAACTTAGTTATAAAACTATTAAAATACAGTAATATTTAAATTCCTAACATTAAGCAGATTGTTGATATAAACTTCAATGCTTCAAAAAATATGAAATTGATAATAAACGTCGGCATATTTCGAGAGCTCAAAAATGTACGGCCATTCTCCAAAATTGTCTGACCGGAATGAGGAAAACAAAAGTGATTCGAAACAGAAAATGTGAAATTGCAATTAAAATAGAGGTTAAAAAAAGAAAACAACATAAACCGCATTGACCGAGAGAGTCAAATCAAGGTCAAATCCAAAGTTGGTATGGAGCTCATTTCGTTAGCAATGGCATCTGCTTTGATTATGAATAAAACAAGATTACCGGGGATGAACTGATGTGACAGGGGTGGTAAGAATTTTGGCATTTTCGAAATTGAATTTATGCCCAAGATTCCTAGAATGTACGGCAATAGTTGATTTATCGCAATTTTGATAATGGATATATCTATTATGTTTTTCTAATCGCACCTATTTTGTCCGATGTGGCCTGCACTGTATTCATTCTCTGTTTCACTCTCGGCTACCGCGGCTTTTCTAAGTTTATTTTTCAGTTTTATCTTCCCTTTTTTTTTTAGAAGCTTGACGTTTTTTTTTTTTTAATTAATTTTCANTTTTTTTTTTTTTTTTTATAATTTATTTTCATTTTTACTTTTGTTTCCCCTATTCACGCCTGGCAAATGTTGATAATAGTTGCTCATTTTTCAGCGCACGAAACATTTGCTTTAAAAAAATGAAGATGGTATTAAAAGTTTACATGTTTCGAGGGCTTATTCTCAAAGCTAGCCAGACATAAATGACTTTGTGACGTGAATTTTTGAACGCGAGTAACAAAGTATATTAAATTAAAATCAACAATTCTAAGCTTTCTTTTACTAAGAACTTGCCAATTGTTTAAAAACGAACGTTTAATTCAAAGAAAAGCATAAATCAAAGTACTAAAAATATAGATTAGTATATTATTGAAAAAATAATCTACGTGGTTACGTAAAAATCAAAATTTTGAAAAATCAGAAAAATATAATTAAATAGCTTGTAAAACTGTCCTGGAAAGCACGCGCGGCCAAGTGTTTAAAAAATTTATTTTAAGATTAAGACGATATATAACATCTTGAGAAATTTTAAGATGTTTAAAAATGTTGACTACGTATTCGGTAGCTCTATTCTCTTTGTAGTGACATGAAATATTAAAACACGATTTCACATAATCATAATTGATATTGCAATTTATTCAAGAAGATATAACGATACCTGTTATAAAACTTTTACCTCCATTTAACTTGAAATTGCTTGATAATTATCAAATATATATGTGGTAGAAATTGATAAATATATTATTCCAAATCAATGCATACGTATGTATATTATTGAAATTGTATCCATTATTCAAAAATGAAATAAAATTACCTACTGAAAATAAGATTTGAAAAAAAAAGCAGATGTATAATCACATTCTATCATAAAACTCAATATTCGTTGAATAAAATGTTTTATTCAATAAAATGTTTTTTTTCTTTCAATAAAATGTTTTATTCAAATCTCTCTATTAAATTACGAATACATTTTTAGACGACTAAAAAAGAAACATCGTATTTTATTATTTAAAAAAAAGGATTAGCAATCGGTTATTAGCGAAAGAAATATGGATAAAATTTTAAGTTACGCGTGTGGAAGTCAAGTTCCATGTAAGTTAATCATATTTAAATATTAATCGCCCCATTTAAATATTTATACATTGTCACCAAATTATTTCTTAAAAAAACAATTAATTTTAATTTTTCTGGGCTTTTACTGAATAAAAAAAGTTGAAACATTAGATTTTGCAGTAGAAAAATAGATTCAAAATTTTTTCATCCACAATTGAATTAAATAATAAAAAATCGTACATATTTATTAAAAACTATTGTTTGCCTGAAATTAGCTTTGGCTAAATGGGTTTCATGAGTAGGTGCAATTTATTTATTTGAAATTGCTCAATTAATCTTAAAGATATGTCTAAAAATGTACAAAGGGAATTTAACATTAAAGGGACCAAACTTTCATCCGCCCTCCTGACTAAACTATTAGGGTCACATTTTCCAGATTGCGACTAACCCCTATATTTTGTAGGTTAAGAATTCAGATATGANGTGGTAAGAATTTTGACATTTTCGAAATTGAATTTATGCCCAAGATTCCAAGAATGTACGGCAATAGTTGATTTATCGCAATTTTGATAATGGATATATCTATTAAGTTTTTCTAGTCGCACCTATTTTGTCCGATGTGGCCTGCACTGTATTCATTCTCTGTTTCACTCTCGGCTACCGCGACTTTTCTAAGTTTATTTTTCACTTTTATCTTCCCTTTTTTTTTAGAAGCTTGACGTTTTTTTTTTTTTAATTAATTTTCATATTACTTTTGTTGCCCCTATTCACGCCTGGCAAATGTTGAAAATAGTTGCTCATTTTTCAGCGCACGAAACATTTGCTTCAAAAAAAAATGAAGATCGTATTAAAAGTTTACATGTTTCGAGGGCTTATTCTCAGAGCTAGCCAGACATAAATGACTTTGTGATGTGGATTTTTGAACGCGAGTAACAAAATATATTAAATTAAAATCAACAATTCTAAGCTTTCTTTTATTAAGAACTTGCCAATTGTTTAAAAACTAACGTTTAATTCAAAGAAAAGCATAAATCAAAATACTAAAAATATAGATTAGTATATTATTGAAAAAATAATCTACGTGGTTACGCAAAAATTAAAATTTTGAAAAATCTGAAAAATATAATTAAATAGCTTGTAAAACTGTCCTGGGAAACACTTCACTAAAAAATAGTAAAATCTTGAATTCTTAAAATGAACACTAAAAAATTTATTTTAAGATTAAGACGATATATAACATGTTGAGAAATTTTAAGATGTTTAAAAATGTGGCTACGTATTCGGCAGCTCTATTCTCTTTGTAGTGACATGAAATATTAAAACACGATTTCACATAATCATCGTTGATATTGCAATTTTATTCAAGAAGATATAACGATACCTGTTATAAAACTTTTACCTCCATTTAACTTGAAATTGTTTGATAATTATCAAATATATATGTGGTAGAAATTGATAAATATATTATTCCAAATCAATGCATACGTATGTATATTATTGAAATTGTATCCATTATTCAAAAATGAAATAAAATTACCTACTGAAAATAAGATTTGAAAAAAAAAGCAGATGTATAATCACATTCTATCATAAAACTCAATATTCGTTGAATAAAATGTTTTATTCAATAAAATGTTTTTTTTCTTTCAATAAAATGTTTTATTCAAATCTCTCTATTAAATTACGAATACATTTTTAGACGACTAAAAAAGAAACATCGTATTTTATTATTTAAAAAAAAGGATTAGCAATCGGTTATTAGCGAAAGAAATATGGATAAAATTTTAAGTTACGCGTGTGGAAGTCAAGTTCCATGTAAGTTAATCATATTTAAATATTAATCGCCCCATTTAAATATTTATACATTGTCACCAAATTATTTCTTAAAAAAACAATTAATTTTAATTTTTCTGGGCTTTTACTGAATAAAAAAAGTTGAAACATTAGATTTTGCAGTAGAAAAATAGATTCAAAATTTTTTCATCCACAATTGAATTAAATAATAAAAAATCGTACATATTTATTAAAAACTATTGTTTGCCTGAAATTAGCTTTGGCTAAATGGGTTTCATGAGTAGGTGCAATTTATTTATTTGAAATTGCTCAATTAATCTTAAAGATATGTCAGAAAATGTACAAAGGGAATTTAACATTAAAGGGACCAAACTTTCATCCGCCCTCCTGACTAAACTATTAGGGTCACATTTTCCAGATTGCGACTAACCCCTATATTTTGTAGGTTAAGAATTCAAATATGTAAAAAATACATATTGATATTTAGAGAAAGTATGTTTTTGATTTCTGATTTCGTAACTTAATTAATAATTAGCAACAAATAATTATCATATTTGAAACATCCGCAGAAACCATTAAGATTGACATTAAGTGCGTGAAAATCCGATCATTAGAACGAAAGTTATTCAGGCGATATCTTTTTTCTTCTTCTTTTTTTTGCCTACTGTACATACGTTATCTTCATTATTAACATGAATCCTTAACAAAATCTAAGAAGTTAATATATAATAGAAAAACGTCATAAATGGTAGACGAATTATTAACGAAGAAGGCGAGTTTGAAGTCATCAAAAGCTGTTTGATTGCCCGAAAACTTTTCCACTTTTACAAGTAAATAGCTGTAGCATTTATGCAGATTCATTAAAAAAGAAATTTTTGCAACAATCACTGTATGATTATTTCAAATTTACTGCAGAATTCCGGATTTAAAGCTTTATATTTTTTTACATTTAGGATTTTAAAGTCACTCCTTACAAACTACGGTAATTTTGTAGACAATAGCTAAAAAGTTTTCGAAATTTTTTTTGTGTAGAAATTACTTGACATTAGTCGAAAATAACTGAAGTATTTTTATAGTTAAAGTTGTACTGCAGAAAATATACATTTGCCTGTCAAAAATACTTCAACTCTGTCTAAATTATGAAGTTTATTTATAGCTGGAAATTAATCAAATATATTAATAATCTGATTAAGTAATAATGTTTATAAATTACAACAAAAGTTAATGAAAGTTGCACTTAAAAAATACAATTGTATTAAGTACAATATTCTATTGTTTGTGGGCAGAGATAGCCTGGTTTGTAGGACGTTGTGCCCATGTCCAAGAGATCACGTGTTCGTTTTTAGCCTGTCGAATAAGACTTCCCGTGTAGTAAATGTTGAATGGTGGACGTTAAATCTGTGGGTCATAAAGTTCTCCAAGTTCCCATAGCAAATCAATAACTCTGGCGGTACTGAATTGGAAATTAATATATATATATATATATATACAGTGAAACCTCCGTTAAGCGGACATTCATGGGACCAAAAAATTTGTCCGTTTATGAGAGTTGTCCGTTTACGGGAAGGGTACCCTAATAACGAAATTTAACACCGTAAATTGTTTTTTGAATATTCTCAAAGATGTAGAAATTATTAAATAATATCTACAAGAATATTTATTTAAACAATAAGAAAGATAAAAAAGAATATATAAAGAAGTTTGATATAAATACATAATTCTGGATGTAGCTACAGATAAATAAATATAATTTTCCTATTAGCATAGATACTCAAGTTAGACATATGATACCAAAT